GGGTAAGGGGTGAGGCCCGCCCGAGGGTGGCGGGTCCGTGAGGCGGAGGGTTGGCGGTGAGGGGGTGTTGTGCGGCAGAAGCCACTGGCTTCTCCCTCGGGGAGGGGAGGCGGCGTGGCGGGGTTGCGGAGGGGCGCTCGGGCTAAGGGAGGCGGCCTGCGGCAGCAGGTGCTTCACCGGGATGGGGGTGCGGGTCTTTCTGAGCCCGGTAGGAGGTGGGGAGAGAAAGCTCATGTCTGCAAGGCACGGGGGGGGGGAGAAGGAGGTGGTGAGGTGAGGGATTTGGCCAGGGCTTTGGGTTTGGCACGCTGACAGCCCTGGGGTGGAAGGGGTGGGATTTTTTTTGGCAGTAGGAGTTAGGGCTCGGTCTCATACACCCTGTTCTAAGGAGCACAGGGTCCCATGCGCCTTGTTTTGCTGTTGAAGTGATGCCGGTTTGCAAACTACCTGTTTTACTGTCTGTTTTACTCTCAGATTTGCTGTTTGTCTACTTTTTGCCAAGCAGGCTAACCCTTCCCTGTGGCTTACTGACACCAGATAGCGGAACTCGTTGCAGGCTCTGATACCCTTAAGATGTGTGATACAACATGCTGCTTCAATGCAAAAGATGCAACCTTAAGGCCTTTTCAGACACAGAGCACTTGACCCAACTGCTACAGTTGCGAGATCTCTGCTACGAGGGTTAGAAGAGGGATTTAACCCTTGTAAAAGGAAGGTGTGAGTGTTAGCCCTAGAAGCGGCAGTTGTCCTGCATTGGGTTCTCCCAGGCAACTCCAGAGTAAGTGTGTAACTTGGTTAATGTTACAAAAGCTGTAGCATATTGTAGTCTAGTGATGTGTTGGTAGCGGCATTTATGTCTGGTGCTAATTGTTTGTTGTCATTTTCAGTAAGCATTGCCAATGGATGAACTGGTGCATGACTTGGCCTCAGCCTTAGAGCAGACTTCAGAGCAAAACAAGCTGGAGGAGCTATGGGAAGAGATGGCCCTAAGCCCACGGCAGCAGCGGCGTCAGCTTCGCAAGAGACGGGGTCGTAAACGACGCTCAGACTTCACGCATCAGGCAGAGCACGCCTGCTGCTACAGCGAGGCCTCAGAGTCAAGCTTGGACGAAGCTGCCAAGGATTGCCGTGAGGTGCTGACAGCCAATTTCAGTGACTCTGATGACATGGCAGTGGTCAAACGACACCCAGCTCTCAGTGCCACCCTGAGGAGCAAGCAACACTCATGGCATGAGTCAGACTCCTTTACAGAGAACGCGCCCTGTCGACCTCTCAGGCGCCGACGGAAAGTCAAACGTGTGACATCAGAGGTGGCCGCCAGTCTCCAGCAGAAGCTCAGGGTGTCAGAGTGGAACTACGAGAGGGGCTGCAGGTTCAAGTCAGCCAAGAAACAGCGTCTTTCACGCTGGAAAGAAAATACCCCTTGGACATCATCCAGTCATGGCCTTTGTGAATCAGGAGAAAACAGGCCCTTCCTTAGCAAAGGGGGAAGGAAGGAGCGGATGGAGTGTGATGCTGATGAACAGAAACAGGGTTCTGATGAAAACATGTCAGAATGGTGAGATCTCAGTTTCTTCCCTGTGCTAGTCAGATGGCCGCCTTGCTTGCATCTGCCTGTAAATCCTGTATCTTGCTTCTAGAAGTTCTTACCAAAATTATTCAGTGCTGTTCTCTTTTTAAAGAGGAGAAATATCTCAGCTACTTCTAAACTGTAGATTTTTTCCAAGTTTTTCCTGTCAATGCTGTACTGATGACCCAAAACACTTCCTTGAAAACTTGGCAAGCTGATATGTTTCTGGCTTCTGTTACACAAGGAGCCCTCAGAAATGTCTGTGGCATGCTTGTGGCCTGAGGTTTGGAGAGTAAATTCACCATTGGCACTTGTGTTGTATGATTGATATGAACTGGTCTCAATTTCTTGTTTACCGAATTTACCATAAGTAGTAATAGAGAACAGATCAGATCTCCCATCATGACTGCTAGCCCTCTGTGCAGGTACTGTGTGAACCTCAGTTGAAACATCTTGTTTGCAGTTCTGCATCTCTGTTCTGGATCTGGAATAAGGTCCTGAAAGGCTAGCTATGGGGGACATGTGGTGAGATGATAAAGAAGTTAGGGGAAACTTACATTACTTATGGGATAAGCCTGTGCAGACAGTAGACTTTGGCATGTCATCTTCATGTCCAGTTTTGGAGAAATTTGATTAATTTGTTGCAGAATGTCATACAGGAGATGAAAACAAAAAGTGTAAATGTCATGGTCTGAATTTCTGTGTCGCTTTTGGGAAGTTTCCCCTTTGAGTGTGGCTTTTATTCTCTCCGTAAAATGTTTTGGGTTATAAAACTGCTCTGTACAAAGAGATTTTTCAGGTTAGGAAAGAAAAAACTACTGAGATTCAAATGGAGGAGATTTCTTAATGAATAACCTACAGAAGATAAATAGGGTTTATTTGCTAATGATCACTGTATAAGAAGCAGGAGACATTGAAGAAACATATAAAACAGTATTCTTTTACATGAAACACAAGGTTTGGAACTCTACTGTGGGACGTTTTGGAGGTTAAAAATTTAAATATGACCAAAAGGGGGATGTGGAGCATAAATTTACCAGGGGCTGTTAAGCATTACTGCCCAGATGGAAGATCCAGCTCAGGAAGTTCTTAAACTGCTGACTACTAGAAGCTGGAGGAATATTCAGAGGAAACAGTTGGTGTGTATTTGTCATGTTTGCATATTCTTTCCTCAAGCATCCTCTGTGTTAGTCGCTATCAGACAGAGGACAGTGGATTTGGAAAGTGTGATTGTATGATCCAGTATAATTGTTCATGTTAAGGTTCATTTAAGAGTTCTGGCTGTCTAGCTCCTGCAGTTTGTCAGAGTGGATAAGTGGCACTTGGTTATTGAGGGCTTTGTGGATAATGGCTGGAACTGCAACCTTCTCAGTGGAATTTTCTGTAAGGCTGTGAAAAGCATAGATTTTAATACATTCTTACTGTCCTGATCTAGGGGACCACTATTGCATTTTTACTGAATCAGAGTGGTTAGTATGTAACTATTATAGGGTGGAAGTAACAAAAAAGTGGTATTTTTTTCCTTGAAACGTGGCTATTTGCTTAAAAAGTGGGTGCAAAGTGGGCCTTTTTGAGACTAGTGGATGCCTTTTTGCTACTAGTTGTTAAAAGCACTTCTGTCTTTTCAGAGCTATTTGCTGGTTGTCCAGGAGAGGGAATGTGCTGAGTAGCCCCTGAATGTTGCGTGTCAAGTGTGGTGGACTGAGAGATATGCTTAAGTTTACTTGATGGAGCAGTGATGGACAGTCTTCCTTGAGGTTTTTTTCCCACCAGTCAGAGTCTGTTCCATCATTGTTGAACTTAAACCAGTAGGCTTTCATCCAGCCTATATTTGTGCCAGCCTTTGAAACAGTAAATAAACTTTGTACTGTTACTTGAGGACCATGCTGGGAGATCACTTTGTTCTGTCTCAGTTGTCCCTTGCTCTCAGACTAATTATTGTGCAAGTGTCTTCATCAAATGACATTTACTATCTGCTGCCAAATCTTTGATATTCTCTTTGGAAAGCCAGGGGTTGGAATATTTGACCTCTCCAACACCACATGTGTGATCTGTGCTATGACTCACTAGAGAGGGTCAACGCTGGAGAGAGAAATACGTACAACCCTCTTCACTGCAGAGTATCCCTCACGGCAGTGAAGGAACATGCTTTGGTCTCTGCTGCTCTAAATACAGCACTTTGCTGCTAGCAGCAGAGTGAAACTGGCTGTGCTTACCTCACTCTAGCTGTTTTCTCTGGTACCGTAAGTGCTTTGCACAGATGTATAACAAGGGCATATCCTGAGGAAAGGAGAAGAACATTGGATGCTTAGGAGAGCAAATGGTGTGGTTGTCACCGTAAGCTGATGGGAGGGAAAGTGACTGGTATGGTGTGTGGGACTTGGGAGTAGTCTGGTGATCTGGCAATCTACAAAACACTTTGATACTGAATTGGTTCCACTACTGTTCACTTCTCTAGCAGTATGGAGTGTCACAAAACTAATGTTTTTAGTCAAACTAAGTTGTATATTCAGAACTGAATTTTTCTTTACACCTTCTTTTCCCTCCCCTTCACTAACACTTGCTTTTCTTTGTTATGTAGGAATGAATCTCTGTAAATGCTAAAATATTCAGCATTTTCTGTTTTCTATAAGGCTCTCTATCCTAAGTCAGATCAAAAACCTACAGTATTCAGTGGATAAACTCCCATTCGCTGAGGAAGCTTTGGGTCTGGATCCTTAATGAGGAGGTGATTGTTACAGTTTGATTGTGGGACTGCACCCAGTCATTTCCTGGAGGCAGATATGCTGCAGTATTGCGATTCAAAGTGTGCATGAAATTAAATCTTTGAAATTGTTTGCCAAACATGGTGATGGATGAACACAAATGGAGAGAAGGAAGGATGTGCAGGAACATGGTGAGTGAATGATGATGGTTCTAAATTGGGTAGTGACATGACTCAAAGCCTGATCTATAAATGATTGTGGAAACACTAGAGGAGCAAGTAGAGGAAGCAAGTGGTCTTTGTATAGGTAGCCATTTGTATATTTGTACAAAGGTGACAATTATCTGCTAAGACTGTTAGAAGTAACATGCCTTTCTGTTCCTTAATGCTTTGAGATTCCCTGCAGACATAATAAAGCCAAGGCAAATTGTATATTGACCGCTGAAGTTCCTTCTCATGTTGGTCTAAGCTGAGTACTCCCAGAATGGTCTGAGTTTGGTTTAAGGGCAGAACAAACCATAGTACAAGAGCCATCTGAAAAATCACTTTGAATGGTGTGCTTACTACTGAGAGATCTGCAGCTTGTCTTATCTGCTCTCAAGTGCCGTAACTTAATTTTTTAAAACTGGGGATTGTACCAGAGCAGTGTGACTTCACTGCCTTGATGCTGATGTATTTGTTGTGGTTTAAACCTGATAGGCAGCAGAGCCTCACTCAGCCACTCACTCACTCTCCTGCTGTAGGTTGATGGAGAGAATCAGTAAGTGAGAAAACTTGTGGGCTGAGATAAAGACAGTTTAATAGGTAAAGCAAAAGCTATGCACAGAATCAAAGCAAAATTTGGAATTCATTTGCTACTTCCCATAGGCAGGCAAATGTTTAGCCATTTCCAGGAAAGCAGGGGTTCCATCATGTGTGACGGTTACTTAGGAAGACAAATGTTGTACTTCTGAGCATCCCCCTTTCCTCCTTCTTTCCTCCAGCTTTTATTGCTGAGCATGACATCACGTGGTCTGGTATATCCCCTTGAGCAGTTGGGTTCATCTGTCCCGGCTGTGTCCCTCCCAGCTTCTTGTGTACCCCCAGCCTCCTCGCTGGTGGGGTGGTGTGGGAAATGGAGAGAGCTTTGGCACTGTTTAAGCACTGTTCAGCAATAACTAAAACATCAGTGTGTTAACTAACACTGTTTTGTTCACAAATCCAAAACATAGCCCCATAGAGCTACTAAGAGGAAAAATTAATTCTATCCCAGCCAAAACCAGTACAGTATTCTGGCCTGGGAGTGTAACCAATGCTCATCTTGATTGTGCAGTAGTCACTTTACCCTTTGGAAGGGAACTGTTTTGGTGACAGCCTGCAGTGGCAGTCAAGAGCCTGGCTAAACTGATGAATTGGAGGCCGGTCTCTCCGTAAAGAAAAAATTCCTCTCTCTTGGAAGGCAAGTGACAAAGACAGAGTGTTCAGCTTCCCCTCCTTCTCCAGCCCAGCCTGACCTTCTGCAGCCCCTCGGTGCCTCTTGTTTTCTTATTTTTATAGAAAATCAATATCCCTCCTGACACAAACAATAGCTCAGGCAAAAGAATAAATGGGGGAAACCTGAGATCTCTGTCCATCACCTCTCACTTTAACTCCCCCAAACTATTTAATTATAAGCATGCTTTGCTCCAGGTGTTTGTGACAGTGAAATTGCTAAATGAGGACCATTTTAACCAAAGATTGGGTGATCAATAACACTCTATAGCAGTAGCTTGTTGGATCAATAGCACTCATTATTTCATGGTTAAGGTAAGTAGCCTCCTTTACTTGTGGAGGTCATTAATCAGCGCTTACTGGACCTGCAGAAAGGCTTGTGTAGGAGTCTAGTTTGTGTTCAGCCCTGAAGTGTAAAAGGTAGTGAAGAGGATGAGGTCCATGAAAGTTTGTTCCAGTAAAGCGCTGGCAGTAATGTGTATCTGTAAGGAACTAAAGAGCTCTCAGTACAACAGGATACTTAAAGTACTGTTAATATGATCTGGAATCTTGACAATGCTTTTTCCTTTCTCAGGCACCTTTCCTCTGAGGATGATAAAACCCTTATGAAGCAGTCACTCTCAATCCTTGCACCTGCTGCTTGTGAGGATTGTTAATCTAGGCTTTCAAAAGGGAAAGCAGACACACTAAGAGATTTGCCCAGGGTCATACAGTGAGTTAGTAAGAGAGCTAGGAATGGCACGAATGACTCATGGTTCTTGGTCCTTGTCCTTAATTGCTATGGTGTGTATGTGGGAGGCTGGATGGATGGCCAAACTTTGTAATGGACTGATTTGGAATTTGATATTAACTTACATACTGAAATGTGGGAATGATCTACAGACCGCTCATCCTTTAAGTTTAAATGGCCTTTATATAATGATGAAGATGCAGAGTTTGTAGATATCCAGCATGATGTGTTGATTTGGCCATGTTTTACAGTGCATTTTCTAAGAGCAATAATATGCTCACAAAATGTGGTTTTATTACGTGGCTGTAATTCTTCGGGGTGACACATCTTGTGGTCCCTCATCTTTGAGTCTTCTGAATCAAGGGGTCTCTAGCTGGTACTGGTGTCTAGTATGATCCAATTTCCCTTGAAAAGAGGGACCTAGAGATGTTTTCTAAGATCATGCCCTGATCAGAGATTGATTCTAGTGCTGAGTTATGCCTGATTGTTCTCATCTAAGGCCTTTGTGCTAAGGGGGTGGGCAGTAAGTTTTTGCTTGTTCTGATATCTCTCGGCTAAATTGGAGGAAGTATTGCCTGAAGCATCCAAGGATTGATTTAATATCAACATTAGAGCCATCAGATGCTTAGGATTGACCTAAGCATGTACTTCTGATACGAATATTCATCCAACTTTACAGTCAGTTAACAGCTTTCTACACATTAATTTCTAGTTTAATTCTTTGGTTCAAGAATTAAGTCTCCTGTAACTGCTTCAGCAAATGCAAAGCATACTGTAACTAGGTTGCGTTCAGCAGCAGCAAGTCATGCAGTGCTAAGGTATTTAGCTGAGGCGTTGTGAATGTAGCAGCTGCTCTTCCCTCCAAATAAAATAAAAGTTGCTGTAGATTGAAGGGGGGGTATGGGGGGTGTGGGTCTGTACCTGTATAATATTTTTGAGAAAAAGGAATCAGAAGTAAAAAACTTCAGAGGGTTTTCAGTACCTGTTAAGTGACCCAAGGACTACACTTAATTTCCTAGTGAGTATTCCAGAAAATTTCATAGTTAGGTTATTAACTCTAGTACCTGAGGCAAATGCCATTGTATTAATTACTTTTTGATAACTTAGAACTAGACTAAATACAGGAATCTACTCTTTTTCAAGTGATGCAGCATTGCTAGGTTTTAACAGGAAGCAATTATGTCCAGTGCTACAGCCAGCCATGTATTGAAATGCAATTTCTGTGAGATATGTAAAGCATTTTGGGCTCAGAGTAGCTAGTAAAATGTAATAAAGTGGTTTTTGTTTTGTATTTGATGCAATTGTAACAATGGGGTTTTTTGTTTGTTTTTGTTCCAGTGAAACCAGCAGTGTATGCAGCAGCAGCGATACTGGCCTGTTTACCAATGATGAGGGCCGCCAAGGTAACAACTGTCCTGTGATTTTCTTTGTGTGTTGCAGGGGAATTTCTCTTACTTTCTGTAGAAATACAAAGCAAGGTCTATGTTTGAAGAGGGACAGAGAAGGAAATATGGGAGAAAGGCCAGTGTCTGGGAGGGGCTAGAAGAAATGAGTTGAGGTCTACAAAGGTTTGATTTTGATAACAGTACACTCTTCCTGCTGAAATATTTTGTATATCAGATCCATAATACTTGAAATATAAGAAGCTGTTACTATGGAAAGGCACAGAAATACAAGAGGAGTTTTAGAGCTCTCCATAATGAAAGAGCAGAGCTTATGATTTGTTTCTATGGGTGTTTTAATTGTTGTCTACATACCATTACTGCCTGAACCTGTTAGTTGTTTTCTCTATGAGCAGGAAGAGACGATGTGAAAAAAGAATCAGTTAGTACTGACAAGCTATGTAAAGGACTGTGTGAAGAAGACAACAGTAATATGTGATAGGTTTTATTTCTCCGTTGCTCTTGTGTGTATGAGTTGAGCCTAGTATTTTCAATTTCTGGAGTAGAAATGGTTTCTTACGAGGTTTGAGTGTGGAGTGTAATCTGGTTTTATTTAGCAGTGGCAGCACAGTGTCCAGTTTATGGGGGATATGGCAGAAGTTAAGTGTGAAAGAGGTTGTAGTAGACACATAGGCACTCAGGACTGTTACATTTGGAGCAGGTGGAATGTGACCCTAGAGACCTGTAATTCTGTGCAGCTTTTGCTGGTGTGCACTCTGATTCTGTCACTATTCACAAGATAAGATGTGGATGAGATCTCTTCTGGGAATATATGAATGCTAAAGGAAGTAGTATCAGTAACTCAGTAGGAAATGCTGCTTCCACAAGCTTGTTACTAACCCAGGTATCTGTGTGTGAAGCAACACAATGATAGCAGATATGCTTACATGTTTGCTGGATGGTATGTTAGACTGTAGGGCTGATCTGTTCTGAATTTAGGTGGCCATAATACTTTCCCTAAGAGTACAGATTTCAAATATCAGCTTTGACCTTTGCTGAAAAGTAACTGTTTCTGGTCTCCCATCCTTCAAAAGTAACAGAAAAGTCAATCTATTGTCCTCTTTTTTTTTTTACTGATGACTGTTCTGGGGGAGCTGAAGTTAGTGAGCTCTTGCATATCAGATGACAAAGCAGGGTGATGACTGAAGTGTTGAATTTTTACTTCATCACCTGAGGCAAGATTGATGTAGATTGGATAGTGTGTGTGTGTGTGTGTGTGTGTGTATATATATATATATATATATACACACACACTTGTCTATATGCTTGCCCTATATACTTGTCCTGGTTTTATACCCTGTTTTAGACATTAGCTTTTGGCTGCTACTAGAAGTAGGATATGCAATATAGAAAAGCATGTAGAATATACTACTTAAATAAATTAATACAATCCAATTACAGCCTTCCCTGTCTAGGTACTAGAAGGGATTTGACATCCTAATCATCAGGCCTCTGTCTGTTCATACAGTTTATACTATAATAGCTTTGTACCCAAGATGTTTTAGCTTACAGTTCATTGAATCATATAATGATTTCAGTTGGAAGAGATCTTAAAGATCACTTACTTCAAACCCCCCTGCCATGGGCAGGGACACCTTCCATTAGACCAGGTTGCTCAAAGCCCCAACCTGGCCCTAAACATTTCCAGGGACAGGGCATTCACAACCTCTGTGGGCAAACTGTTCCAGTGCCTCAGCACCATCATGGTGAAGAACTTCCTTACATCTAATCTAAATCATTTTTGTGTCCTCCTCTGGACTCACTTGAGCAAGTCCATGTCCTTCTTTTGCTGGGGGCCCCAGATCTGAACACAGCACTCCAGGTGGGGTCTCATGAGAATGGAGTAGAGGGGGAGAATCACCACCCTTGACCTGCTGGTCATGCTGCTTTTGATGCAGCCCAGGATGCGGTTGGCTTTCTGGGCTGTGAGTGCATACTGCTGGGTCACGTTGAGCTTCTTGTCAACCAGCACTCCCAAGTCCTCCGCAGGGCTGCTCTCCATCCAATCTCTACCCAGCCTGTCTCCGTGCTTAGGATTGCCCTGATTTATGTGCAGAACCTTGCACTTGGCCATGTTGAACTTCATGAGGTTTGCCTGGGCCCACCTCTCCAGCCTGTCCAGGTCCCTCTGGATGGCACATCCCTTCCCTCCAGTGTGTCGACCGCATCACACATCTTCATGTCGTCAGAAAACTTGCTGAGGGTGCATTCGATCCCACTGTCCATATCAAAGATGTTAAACACCACTTGTCACTGCTCTCCACTTGGACACTGATCTGTTGACTGCAACTCCTTGAGTGAGACCATCCAGCCAATTCCTTATCCGTTGAGTGGTCCATCCATCAAATCCATGTCTCTCCAATGTAGAGACAAGGATGTCATGTGGGACAGTGTCAAATGTTTTGTACAAGTCCAGGTAGATGACATCAGTTGCTCTTCCCTTATCCGCCAATGTTGTAACCCCATCGTAGAAGGCTACCATTTATGTTAAAATATGTTAAAAGTTATTGTGCTTTCAGGTTAAATAAGAAACATCTGCCTTTCCTTTTTTTTTAAGAGAATTTATAGCCATAAAGTAAATAATAAACATCAGCTCTCCACTTCAATGAGATGAAGAGAGAACCCCTTTTTTTTTTGATCACCGATCATCATCTAAGAAATAGGTTTCTAGTACAATTCCAAACTGAATAACAGGAACTTAAGATAGCAGTGTACTTAAATTGAATGGGTTTTTTTATCTTCTTTTGAGGTTACATCATGTAATATTTGTGCCATTGCTAATTAGATAGGTTGTCTTTGCAATTCCAGCTACCAGTGCACTTCTGTGAGCAGAGAATAGTCCTAGTCTGTAATAATTTGATTGTAAGTGGGTTGTTTGTTTGTTTGGTTGGTTTGGGTTTTTTGTTGTTTTTTTTTTTTAATGCACTGGGATCTCTCATGATGAAAGTTACTGTGGTATTAGCATGTGATCCTGATTGTTAAGTTTGTCTCGTGGAAGTAGCGATCTGAGATATGACAGTGCACTATGCTCATAGATCCAAAACTTTAGGAACATTTTTGTATAAATTATGATCCCTTTAGAAGAACTATCCAGAATTACTTAGTTTTAATTTACTATGAGGTGGATAGAGATATTTATGTTTTGAAATATATTTGTCACAAGCATGCTGAGTCAACTGACATATCAGAAATAAAAAGCAATGTCAGAGCTTTGGGATGAAGTGTTCTGGCTGTCTTACCTGTTGCTGATTGGAGTCAGTTTTGGGTGTTGCTTTTTCTGTTATATGCAAGATTGCAATATTCTTACTAGGTGAGGTTTTCTCCTTTTTCTTGTTGGGTTTTTTTTTCTTCTTGTCTGGTGAGATGTGCCTAAATGGACTTCAGTCAGGGATAATGTAACTTGGTGAGGAAAGGAGGGTGAGTAGGGATGCTCGAGTTGAGACTTAATGGTAGGCAAATGAGAGTTTTTCCTAAGTCAGGTGTGTTAGGTTTTTTTGAAGCAAGGTGAAGTACCTTGCAATTACGTGGGACTGTTTGTTAGCTGGGCTACTGTAAAGCTAAGTGTGTCAGGTTGTTTGACCTCTTCTTGCCTTTTTTTTTTTTTTACGCAGCTCACGTGTTACTGCTCTCAGGGGACTTCTGGCCAGGCAGATTTACCATGAACAGTGTCGGATACAGTTCAGTTTTAGACTGCAACTGCATTAATTACAGTGACCCTGCTTTATGGAGACTTTGATCATGACTTCTCTTACTGCTGCTCTAGTTTTTCAGAGGGTTTGTAGTTCTGACAGATTCTAAAAAATTTTGCTTGAGAAGGGCTCACAGCATGATTAGTACCTACACTCAGAGTGACCATTTCTAATAGTTGTGTGTTTTCCTCTTAGCTGCTCTCTTAGGAGACTAGAGATCTTTCTTATCAGTGAGTATGCTCCTTTTGCTTACTCTGTGAGCCTGGTTGTCTCCTGTTGTGAAATCTCTCCTGTGACAGTCTATACATGTGCCAAATGATTGGCCTCTACCTCTGTCACGGTAATTACTTCAGAGAAAGAGTTCTGCATAAGACATCACACAACATTGAGCTGAGGTTGATGAGATGCAGTCGCAACAGAGTGCTAAAGCTGCCCTAGGCAGGTCTATAAAGAAGGCTTTGTTCTACAGGGAAATTCTGTAGACTGATGAGTTGGATAGTTTAAAGCATTTAGTGAGGCCCCATAGTTACTGCAGATCATTGAAACAGAATACAAATATAAGGTTCTTCAGGAAGGAATTCCTAATGAGACTTCAGCTGTTTCACATCCAGAAATGCTTACCTGTAGTATTTTGTGGGACTGTCACAGGGCACACTGATGCTACTTGTGGCTAATTCTATCCTATTTCTTTAGGAGATGATGAGCAAAGTGATTGGTTTTATGAAGGAGAATGTGTTCCAGGATTCACTGTCCCCAACCTTCTTCCCAAGTGGGGAGCTGACCACCGATCTGAAGTGGAGCGGATTGACTCAGGCCTGGACAAGCTCTCAGATTCCACCTTCCTTTTGCCCTCGCGGCCAGCACAGAGAGGTGAGGGTCATAAGGAATGCTATGTGTTTGATAACTTTTGATGTGATGTCAAGAGTAGACTCTGTTCATAGGTGCTGCAGTTTAAACTGATATTAGTGATCTGTGTTTTTCATGATGCAATTAAAAATAACTGCAGTACTGAAGAGGATACTAAAATACTTATATCAGCTGCCCACATTCTTGATTTTTTTAAATAGGGATATTTCATTTGTGAATAAATTGTCATATCTACCTCTTGCAGATTGAGAAACAAAGAGACAGAGAATCTGATTTGACCAGTGAACTAACTGTTTTTCCTGGTGGTTTTGTCAGGAGGAATCTTCTGTATTCATTACTCTGTTTTTCTGGGTTTGGTTTTCAGGATTTCATGCTCGCCTGAATCGCCTTCCAGGAGCTGCTGCACGTTGTCTCCGAAAAGGCCGGAGGAGGCTTGTTGGCAAGGTATTCCCTCTTGCAAGACAGTAATTTTCAATATTTCCAATGCTGATCAGTCCTGAAGTGCTATTCTAAGCTATCACATGAATTGTCTTCTGCAGAAAGGGGTCCTGTATATTTTTTGTTTCATGTATTGTTTGATTTGTTTAACTGCCTTGACTGCCAGAAGTTGATTGAGTGACTAAGTGGATTTTAAGGCAGGTTTGGAGGGGCAAAGACAGTTGATCAGTGCTAAAAGCAGTATGAAAGGGATCTGAAGATGAATGACAGGGAGCATAAATATCATGAAGATTTAGACAGAATGTAGAGGAAAATGATGATGGTGTGAGACTTGTGCATGCTCATAATCTGAGACTACAAGGGCAGAAAGGTGACTCAAAGGTGAAAGAAGGCCAAATTTTAGATAGGGGAGGAGACTTATATGAATGGCAGTAAAAGAAGGTGGTTTTAGCAGTTGCATTTTCAGTGGGGAGATAGAAGAATAAAAGGGTGTATGCAATAATACAAAGTTACCCAAAGCTATTGACTAGGTTTATTATATGTAGGGCAAACAGCAAACAAAGTATGACCCCTGTTTCTAAAGGAATAAACAGTGCTTTGCAGATGCCTGTCTAAAAGAGGGAGGGATACACCTGCTTAGGTCTGGATATTGGAGTGTTGAGTGCTGCTGTCTGTTATAAAAGATTTTTCTGAGAAGGAAGCTGTTGACTATGTTTAGCTTTTCTTTTATTGGGATGTACTCTGCTTTTGAAAATATTGGCCTATGTTCTGAGCTGACTGGCTTTAAGGGAGTCCGTTAGCAAGGTGTGTTAGACGGGCCTGGAGTCTAGAGGAGTGTGACTTCTTCCTTCTATTTAGTCACACTTGAAAGATCCTTGTTTGCCCCTTCTTTCTTCCACTCACCTTGCTTAGTTGTAATCAGCATTTAAAATATGAATCCTTAGCTGGCGAGAGACTGGTTTTGGATAGGGTTCCTCAGGCCACCTGCAAGTGACTGGGCCTGTCGGCAGCACCTATAATGATCCAAATGAGAAGGATAATATTTACTTGTTTAATTCATCTTCATCACCTTAAAGGGATCTTTGTCATTTGCAGCGGAGGTCACTGCTCCCCCTTCCCCATCTCTCTCTAAATTGTAATCATAAATAATGAGTTTCATTCAGAGCTCCCCGCCAGCGAGCTGCTAATTACCAAAAGTACGACTTGTAATTTACACAGTAATAAACCGTAAATTTAAACATTACGGCACTTTAAGTTAATAATTTTCCTGCTGTAACAAATAGCCCATCTTTCACCCCTGCTGCTACAACTCCCCCCAAACTTTGAGTGCATTTTGCCTGTGTAACCTGGCACAAACATATCTTAGCTGTGAAAGCTTTTTACCCTCATCTTCAGACCCTTTCTTCAAAGTATATTTCTTTCTTGGAGGTAGTTGCTGTGCAGATATGAACAGCTGGTGCTTCATGTGTATGTGTATGCCAGCATCAAGCACATACACAGGGCACTGTCTCGCAGGGAGAAATGTGCTCCCAGAGCAAGTCCTTTCTCTTAGGTTCTACCTTTTCTTTAGCTGCTCAAGGTCCTGCTGCTGAATTGCTGCTTTCAGAAAGGACAAAAGCTTCATGCATCCTCCTTGTTTCATTTACCTGTGCTTGGTGAATTGTTAGTGGGACAGTGTGATGTCCTGTGTCTGAGCCTGTTTCTGGCCCAGTTGACCCCAGCAACCTGCAAATAAGCACTTCTCGGCTATTTCCCCTATTTTAACTGCATCCTTGCGCTGCATCCTTTGTACTAGTCCAGTCCTTGGTGTTCCCACATGCAAGCAAGTATCACCACTAAAATAATAAAAAACAAGCTCCACAAATAAAACTGAATGATTTTCTGCCATTCTAGTTAGACCATCAACTGAGATGATTTAACTAAAAGGAGGGTGAATATGTTTAGCTGGGAGTAGGCTAGGAAGGAAAAAATGTGGCCCAGGGGAATAAGATCTGTTCTTATTGGCAGCAGCAAACTATTATATCTGCTCACTGTGTGAGAGTCTGCAACCTTTTACCTGTCTTTGTGTTTCAGGAGACCTCCATGAGCACTCTGGGCACCGAAAGGCTAGGTCATATTGTTAGTGATCCGCGCCAGAAAGAGTAAGGCTCTTAACAGCTGTTGTGTAGAACTCTGGGAGTGGAGAAAAAACTATAAGGTCCTCTTCCTTCCTGGGACTGAAGGGAATGAAGAACTGGGTGGTAACTTAAGCATGTAGTGACCCATGGAATGGGAGACAGTCCTCTACTGATGGCTTCTCCTTTTTCTTATTTGTGATTGCTGACTTCCCTTTACATCTAAGGCTGCTGCAGTGTGTGGACACTGCTCAAATGTCCTTTTAGTTAGTCAGCTTTTTCATTCCCCCTCTTTTATAATGTACCATTGCAATAATTGCAGATCTTCTGCACAGTATGAGAAGACTGAGCCCTATATGTTAGTTTTTTAAAAATCTTCTGTGTGGAGTCATGTTATGGGTACATACCTAGACCAGAAATCATGCTAAGGCAGATGTGAAATTGCTTTCTCTCTCTTTGGTGTTCTGTCTCCTTCCCCAGTTAGTTTATTTAAATTATAGTCGGCACCGGAAATAGTCATGGTGCCTATCCTTTGGCATCATAAAATGCTATTTTAGTTGGGCAATGGATAGGTAAGGATGACACTCTTGACTGGAGTGCAGTGGGTCCAGCCTTTGCCAGCTGTTGGTGTCCAGTATTCTTTCTTGGATCTGAAACTTATTGTTAATGAGTCCTGCTGATGTTTAATCTTTCTCCTTCTCCCTCCATCTTTGTTCTTCCCTTCCCCTTCTCTCATTACCCCCAACCCTCCTTTTTTTCCCTCCCCTTGTTCGTTCTTTCATTGACATTACTCCCACCTGTTCTTCTGGCTCTGCCTCCTTCCAGTTTTTGGTTACTATCCATGGGGAAGAGAGATCGCAACCAGGTAAGCTGACTCTGCTTTACCTTTTTTATTTTCTTGGTTTCCTTCTCACTAGAAAGAACAAAGTGCTGGCTTCTGATTTCCCACATACTGTGGCCTGTGCACATGAGGTAAGGCAGCCCTGTCCTGTCTCATTTTGTTAACTGGTGTCTTCTGGGCTTTGAACACAACCCATGTCTCAGACTTTATATTGTCTGTTTAAACTGAATAGCTCAGGAACTCCTTTTGTTTATCACCCAGTTTCAGGTTAGTGTAGGCCTTCCTCTGACAGTGAGTGGGAGGGAAAATGCCACTTGGCAGGAGGACCTTTGGCTTCTCACAATTCCATAAGAATTTGAACATTTTTCTCTTTTTAAATGCTTTGTTTTGCCTTGTTTTACTCAGGCTTCTACCTGATAGTCTCATCAACAGAGGAGGGAAAAAAATGGTGAGCTGACTGTAGTTAAATAGCAGCCATAACAGAAAAATCTAAGAGGTGGTAAGCAAGAGAAATAGGCATTCTTGTAACTGAAACTCTTGTGTGTGCACTTTTATATTCACCAGTAAGTCTTTCATAGCTTCAGTGTTGGGAGACTTTTTTACTTAAGATATAATAATAGCAGAAAGTAAGAAGGGTCTTCCATTTGAGCTGTAGTGTTGTAACAGTGTTCCTAATCATGCACAATCCCTTCTGGTCCTTGTGAATTGTTGAAATCTGTTTTAACCTTCAGGTGACTAAAAATACATATATGGCAAGAAGTAATTTTCAGGCCTTTGTGCAATTGTGTGTTTTTTGTTAATGAGAACATTTCATGTACCACTTTTATGTTGCTAAAAGTAAGAATGATAACTGCATAAGCTTTAAAATGACCAAAATAAATTACTTTTGTTTTTCTTAAATGAACTTGAGTCAGCCACAGAGGGTTACTGGTGATTGTTCCCTACTGTGCAGCTGCAGTGTAACTTCACAGACAGTAAACTAACAGTCCAACTTAAGGAGGAGCTTCCTGATAGCAGTAACTTTGTGGTGCATAGTGCCTCTTCTTTCTCAAAAAGGTTGAAGGCAAAGGCCTAGTATTGTGTTCTAGAGTTGCAGATGGCTTTTATGACGAGTCCTGCTACAGTTCTGGATTATTCATTTGTCCTTATTAAAAATGCATCTGTAATCCAAGTAATACAAGAAAAGTGTTCTGGAGATTGGTGTAGCACTTTGCAAAGCAGATGGAAATGAATTTCCTGCTTGTGGTGTGAATTATAAATACAGAGAAGATGCTGAATGGAAGTGTAATGCAGGTATTCCAAAGAAACTACCAGTCTAAACCTTCATTTGCATATTGATCAAAGTTTGCTCTGTGCATTTCTGTCCTGACCTCTAAAAAAATCTTGAGTTCTATCTTCTACAACAAGCTGCCTTGAACAGGTTTGATGCCTTCAGTATTTGTCTAGTGTATATCTAACAAAGAGTCTAAGATCATCCTGATCATGCAGTGTTTCAGAAATTTGTTTTAAGCAGCTTGCAAAGAAAGCTTGTGAGGTGGGTTGGAAGTGGGAGAAGCAGCTCACTTGCTGTGGAATGAATTGGGAGCTCATTATCAACAGAACATGGTGGGCCTGAGTCCTCTAGAGGTCTGTTTTAGTGATACATACCACCATAGGGAATATTGGAACTGCTCTGTGGGAAGTTCTGTGCTTGCACCATTCAGAACAGAGACTTTTGTCTCTATAATGTGGAGGTAAACAAGAGACTTCCCTAAAGGGCGGCAGACACTTTGCTTGTGGCATGCAGCAGTAGAGCACTTTGAGTATGGTCTTAGTCAACCAGCGTTTTTAATAATGTGAGTTGAAAGAGAAGTGTGCTTATGAGTCTGTCTGTGAGGAGATGGTTATGAGATTTGTTGTTGTATCCCATGCTAGCCTTTTGTCTGAAGTGAGAGTCAGTTCTCACCTAGTCCCACCCCTTGATGTGTCAGAAATGTCTCCTTAATACTGTATGAACAGCTATAGGGAATAGATCTGAGCAGCTGTATCTGGAGACTATTTCTTTTAATGCTTTGCTTAAATAAAATCTCTTGACTTTCCAGTTCAATCCATTATCTCCTCTGTACTCTCTGGATGTGCTTGCTGATGCTTCCCACCGAAGATGCTCACCAGCACACTGCACTGCCAGGTAACTCCTTTGCTCTGCTCTGTTGGGGTTGTCTCACTTCCTGCCCGTGGTTATCTGCAGTAGTACTGTGTGGTCTGAAGAGTACTCATGGACCTGGAAGGTAACGCACTTTTCCCTAGGAGGCCTGTGTTCAAACTTAGCATAAAACATAGCAATGCAGATTATTTGAGAGTCTCAATATGCTATGGGTGTAGATTATATGAAACAGTGTATGACAGACAGGCAGAACATACTGTGCTTTTAGAAATAAATGCAATGTGTTCTGGATTGTGCAGAGTTGCTGCAAGTCTGTTGTATAGGTACAAATGGGCATAATACTGTTTCCCACTATTAAAATTGGAACAAGATGAGGGAGAAAGTGCTGACAAGCTCGTGTGGGTGACATGCTGAGGTGTTTTGGTATCCTGGGTATCCTAAAATAGACCCTCTGAGCAGATTGAGAACTCACCTGAGGTGACCTCTAATGGCTTGATATCTCTTGTTATAGCTGAAACTTAGATCTATCTGGTCTAGTCAAATGTTGAGATATATTTGAGTCTGCGCAGTTGGGGTTAATATGTTATTCAGGCACCTTCTGCTGACTAATCCTAAATTAAATTCAAGTGTTGGCCTTGAAGGTGACTCCTGTTCATGTGCTGCAGGTGACTATCTAAAGGTAAGGTGCCCTTGAGCTCTTTACCCATGCAAGGAGACAAAACCTTGATTGGGGACATGATTTTGCTTATGTGCTTGTACGGTATGAAGGACCAAATCTGAAAGAAATGTCTGGACTTTCAGCTTCATATGTTTCTTTCCCTTGTTAATTAGCAAATAGAGCATGAAAAATGTACTGAGGTTCTGTGTGTCTGATCGAAAGCTTGGCACCCACCCAGCAAAGTCTCTCCTCCTGCTGGCTTCTGCAGGGAATTTTGTGATGTCGCACCATGACCTCATGCTGCTGTAGCCCGCATGTTAAAGCTGGAAGGGGGAAGGGCGGAAGAAATCAGCTCTTAAATGTTCAACTGGATGAGCATAAAAAGAATTCAGAAGATTGTGCATCAGCAAACTGGTTCCTTCCTGTGCTTTTGCCCCACTCTGGGGATGTTCTGTGCCCATGAAGCAAGGAGATTGATTGGTCTGTGCATCTGCAGCTAAGATAACCTTTCTTGTGCCTTGAGTGCTTTACAGGAGCTTGTCTTCCAAAAAGGAGAGCTAGACAAATCCTGCTCACAAATTGAAACAGGGCAAAATCTTTACCTTTATGATGATCAGTGAAGGTCCTTTCCAAAGATACTGATTATGGCAAGGGATTTCTAAACCTGGAGTGATCACGTTTGCTTGGTTTTGCTGAATATGTAGTCTAGTTAACCAATGAATATATGCTTGGTTCCTTCCTTAAATGAGCATGTGACTGGTGTCCTGATAAACATAATCCCTGATGAATTGTTACAGAATGTTGACAGAGAAGATGCCCCATCCCAGGGGTGGCTGTATTTTTAAGTACCTGTAGTTTGAGGAAAGAGTTCCTATTTTAGTGTGAAATGTGCTCAAGAATCTTTCTTTATAGGATAAAGCAATATGAAGAGAATGAATGTTATGTGGCTCCATGTTTGTGGCAAGGATTGAACCCTTTGGTTCAAGGTACATTTTGGTGCATCGTTTGGTGCATTATGTAAAGATGCTGCCAGGGGCACAGAAGGAATTTGTTCCTTTACAGAAATGTTTTCTTGACAATAGTTCTTTTAAGTGCTTCAGGAGCCAAGTCTATTAGTAGTCCCTCTTCATACAGGAGGCTTATGTGGTCTCTAAGCACTGTTCAGCCATTGCTCCTGTTAACATCTTCCTCTTCTGCTATGGCTGAGTCAATTCCAGTAGTTTGTGCTTTAGTAACCAACTAGGAGCTTGTACCTCATCCTAGAGAAACTTTACTCAGAAATTTGCGGTAATGGTTTGTGTGTGGGAAGCTAATCTACTGAGAATGATATGAAACTGTCTTGACGTTGTGGACATCCAATTTCTTCTGATTCCCACTGTCCATGCAAAATGACCTCTTTCTGCTTAGTTTCTGCTATCACGAACATGTCCAATGGAGTATAGGTACCAGGTGGAGTCTTTTCTCTCCTACAGAAATGTTTTCTTTGTCTTAGTGGTGGATTTTGGTGCAGTTCCTCTGGAAGACTGGTAACCTAGTGCTTCGTTCAAGCAGAGCTTAAGGCCAGAATACTGAACACGGTTGGGTGAGTTCAAGAAAGGCTTTTCAGTGTTGGAGGAGGAGGTTTTATGTGAGGGTTCCTTCGGAAGTCTTCTTTGAAAGGCTGTATAAATTGTACGCTACCAAGATTACCTTTCTTGCTTTATGTCTGCGATGAGAAAAGATTTCATTCAAAGTGCATGCACAGCACTGGGAATTTCACACCCATCATTAGAAGCAGTTTTGTGTGTGTGGTGACTGTTATCATTAGTGGTATAATTTTATTTTGTGAAGCGAGAAGAGTTTCCTGCTTTCTTGCAGTCTTCCCAAGGGATGGCTGGTGTATTAATTTGCTGTATTGCCTCCTGGCTGTTCCCAGGCTGTTTTTCCTCTTCATCATGGAATTTTTAATGGCCCTGCTGTCTCTCGGGAGGCATGCAAGGAAGAGTACCTCAGGGATCTCTTCCTTTTTTCACATGCCTATAATTACTCTCCTTTAAGAGCACAAAGCGTTTGCTAATCATGTCTTGTCTGTTAAGGTTTCAGCTTCATGATGCAGGCTGTTAAAAGCAAGTAAGTAGAGACTTGCATGGACAGCCCAAGTTATCCTTCCCCTCTTTCCCCTCTGCCCATTTGCCTCTCTGGGAGAAAGGAGTGGTCTGAACAGAATTTTCTTCTTGAACTCCTCCTACTTAAGAGGGTTTTGTACTGGGTCAAGTGGAATATCTTAATAGATTTTGGTTATTGAATGGCTCTATCAATGAGAAGTTGTTGTAGGTTGGTGGTTGGTTGGACTGTTATTCCCTTGAAGCAGGGTAAAAGTTTCAGAAGAGCCTGGAGCCAATGTTCCCTTCAATTTGAGTTTGAATAGCAGGTAGAAGATAAATTATCTGTAATGCCATTTATTGTTTACCTAGCCTTGAAAGTAGGGTTATGGGTGAAAAACTCAATTAAATGTTCCCACTGGAGGTCATAGGAAAAGCGGACCTCAGATGGCAAGTAGATGTTGAAGGTGGAGATTTGAAGAATTACGTTAGAGAGACTTCTGAACAGTACAGATGAATTGAAGAAAATCACTTTGCATGCACTCTCAGTTAATATTAACCATAAACCTAGAGTTTAATTGGGTTTAGATGCAAGTCTCTCTTCTTGCCTGGAACACAGGATAAAGGCGTGAATGGTCATCTAGTAAACTGCAGTTGCTCCATACCCTGGATTTGGTGGTGCTGTTAGAGTGAAAAGGCTTGAATTTCTCTAATTCTAGTTCCAACTCTAGAAATATACTAGTCAAAGTAAATCTTGTTCTTTTCTGTATCTGTGCAGAGATCCTGACATTTCTGTCTTTTACCCAAGTATGTGGAAGTACAGGGATTGCCTGCAATGTCAAGCCTTCACTGAGGCAGCTGAGAGTGAACGGATGTTCACAATTTCATGCTTTCCCACTTCAGTATCCCATTCATTCCACGTGACCTATCCACATATCTTTATCTTTCTGGAATTGTCTTTATTGAAAATGTCTTCTGTCAACTGCTTTAGGTATCTTTCTCCTTAGGTTTTTCTAAGTCTTTTTCCATTTAGCTGGAGCACTTTCATGTCTTCCTTTGCTAAAGCCTGGCTAATACTCCAGTTGGGGATGTAACTGAATTCTTCTGACAGGCATGCAGTGAGCAGCAGCTATCAACCTAGTGTCACATGCAGTTGTCTGAGACGTAATGCTCCCATTTTGGTGAATCCTAAATCTCTGGAGTGAATGATAAATTCCCTTGGCTTCAGAATTTTGTTTACTTGCTATTGCTTTCTTTGCCTATAAAGCATGTTGCCATTATCAAATCTGTGTACACAGCAGGTCTGGCAAATATTGGGACTCTTTCTGGCACAGATACCATGTGATTCAATATAAAAATAGAGAATGCAATATATGGTGTCACATAATCTCTGCTTAGAGTGCTTACATGGAAAACTAGAAGAAAATGTGTTCACTTGCATTTGCCACACACAGACTTTTAGGAATGAAATTGCTACATCATGAGAATGCTTACTTGAGGAACAGACGGCTGCTACATGAAGACCTATGAGACTCAGATGATTTAAGAAGTGAGTTGACCTGTTAGTGATTTTTGGAGTCTGCAAAATGTGTTCTAGAAGCTCTCCCATGAGGCTCTGCAGGGCAGAGGAGACTCTGCTAGGCACAGGAAATATCTACAGTGTGATGTGATAGCAAGAACCACTTGCATGCATGGGAGCTTTGCATGCAGATTGGATGAGCAACTTGTGTTGATTTACATGTATTATGTGTGGATCAGACTTTGGTGCCCAGCTGGCTCTATAGTCAAAGAGGAGGAATAACTCTGCTTTTACTATTATTTTTGTGAAGCCATTATCAACAGCCTCAGGTAACACCTCAGGGCTTAGAGAAAGAGCCTTTTATTTGGCCTATGTTTGCTGGGAATATAGCATCACAACAGCAACAGCTGGGTTGTGTGGAGTTTTAGTATCAGCATCCTTGTTAGAATGCTGTCTCTATTGAACATTTACTTTAACATGAGGATAATAATATCCCTTGTATGTATGACAGTAGATTAATGGCTGCCTTTCACTTTCACTACATAATCCAAGTGCTTTGCTTCCTCTAAGGATAGGGTTAGAATAAAGGTTGTCAGCAGAGAAGCTGGATATTGTGAGATTACAACAAGAGGCATACAGCCCTGAGTGTGCGACGTGTCTCCTGCCTCCAAGAAGGCCACAGACTGTCACAGTTAGCTCTGTAGGGTCTTCTCGGAGACCTCGGTTGGAGATTGAGGTATTTTAAGAGAGTGGACATCACTTTACAATCTAGACTTTTTCTTCACAGATGGTGAAGGCATCAGGAGCCTGATGCTGTTCAGTAAGGTTCTTTGTGGGCTGGTGGGTGCTTGTACTCTGTATTTTGTCCCACAGATTGTACTGCCAGTCCCAAATTTCTGTTTAAACCCTGTGGTAGATGTAAATAGTGGCAAGCTCCTGTGAATCTGTAGTCCACATGTGGTCACCTTGAACTATAGGACTGAGATAGGAGTTGGGTGTATGCAATTACAGTTCATTTTAAAAAGAGTATACAGTCATAGAGTAAATATGTAGAAAAGAAACAAAAGGAAGCATTACTTCTGACACTTTAGAGACAGCAATGAATCTCAGCTTTTGGCATAGCAAAGCCTGCTTTTTCTCCAGCATGACTTGCATGCAGAATTGGGTACCTTAACTACTATCTTAAGAACAAGAGACAAATCCATATTTCCTGGATAATTCCTTTATCTTAGCTTGTGAATTAAAAACAAACAAAAAAAATCACTGTCAGAAAGACACTATAGACTTTTTTCATATAAAACTACTTTTTCTATATGTATGTAATTTTTCAGTCACTAACTCCTGGCAGTGGGAGGCTGTAGTGTGAGTTGGATATATTGCAGCCATCATTGTAGATGCACAGTGGATCCTGCTTTGTTTCTCCAGGTGTGTTCTACTTTTTCTCTTCCCATGTTAGAATTTCAGTCCTCTCTAGACTGTAAACTAGGTTTTCACATTAGTCTCTGGTCACCTAGCACATCCAGCTGTGACTTTATTTTTTCTTATGATCAACTAGCCATAGTCCAGAAGTAACTAGGCAGTTATTTTCTCATTACTGTTTGTGCAACACTGAAGAAAGGATGGAAGCCTAGCAGAAGTGATTGAAAGCCAGTAAGGACAGAGAAAATACCATTCTGGTTTCTCAGTTTAGGCCCAGATCTTTCATCCTACAAAGCTCTGTGCCTCAGACTTCTTCATGGAAAGGCTTGTGACAATGCACAAATATGCATTTTCTGTCAGCCTTTCTTCTCAGCCCTGTTCTATTCTACTTCAGAGTCATTTTTAAACTGTCCAGAAGAGTTGTTAAAATTCAACTTTGGCAGAAAAACTAATTCATGGTTGCAGCCTGTTGGTGAGATTTTCACAATTTGTAGTTCAGCCTGTCCGCTGCAATGTTGTGTGCTGGGCATACATACCCATGACCTGACTTTCCTGGTGGTAGCGTTTCTAGGAGTCTGCTGTTAAACTGGGATTCACCAATTCAATTCTCTTACCAATATAGTACCTGTATGCGAGCTAGTAACTAGAAATTTAGATTGAAAAGTGTGGTATCTACTGAAAAATGCATATTTCATAAATTATAAGTCAGGCACCCTTTCTGTCCATGTCTTAATGAGGACAGTCATCCCTGCATGCATTCTTCTCCCAGGGTACCTACCACCTGGAGTTTCCCTGTATGCAGATTTATGGTGCCCGTAAAGTGCACCAGCCACTTGAAACTGACACTTTTACCACCAGGTCAGTCAGAGCCAGTGAGTAATCAATAGGTTCCTGATTTACTGACTGAAGTGTGGGTGATCAATAAGGGATAAACCTGTATGAAATACATGTTACAGAGACAATTTATGACCTCTGAGCCTTTGTGTGTTAGAGGCAGGGCTGCTAGATGCAGTGTCTTTGCTATTAGTCTCCAACTGGAGTATGATTTGCCTTTACTTTCACTGCAAGAAGGGATTTTGCAGTTCTCGTATTCTGTTTTAATTTTTTTTTTTTTTTTTTTAACCCTCTTGTGTAATCATGAGGTAAGGGGAGATGAGGTTTGAGCATGGAGCTGACTGCCAGGAGCTCTTACTCAACATTTGTGAACTGGGAAAAATTGCTTAAAGTCTCTTGGAAACAATAATGCATACTTCTTTCTTAGTCTGTAGTGATTCTCCACCAAGGATCAGCTGGCTAATGTTGGTGTAAGTTTATAAAATTAAAAAGGGAACCTTATTATTATTATGTGATAAAATTAGTTGGATTATTATATATAATTATGTAGTCATCTAGTGAGTAATCTAATACTGTGTAACTGATGCAAAATAAAAACCTGAAGTTCCACTTGATTGAGATCTTTTCCTTGGGCTATGTGTGTGCCTAGATGTTTCAGAATACATGGTAGAACTGTGCTCAAATACTATGTAGCTACTATCAAAATAATGTACAAAAGCAATTTTTAGCATATGCAAAGTCACTTAGAGGTTAGTCACTTATGTTTACAAACACAGGATTTGAATATGCAGTCTTATATGTGTGATGGTGTTCTTGAAAGCCCTTAGTTTATGTTTTCAGGAGAATTCTCTATCTGATTATATTAATATGCATTCCTAGATTTGAAAAATTGTTTGTCAGTGAAATTTAGCACAATTTTTAAAATATTTGACACTATTCCTTAATGTCAGATTTGGATGACAGGTTTTGTAGACTTCTTGTAGATCTTTTAAATTTTAGTTGAGAAGACAGAACACTAGATATTTCTTTCTTATTTTGTGATTGCACATTTGTTACAGGTAAGTAGGTAGACCCAGCAGCATTGAGACAATTTGTAGTCTTGGCTTGTATGGGAAATTTTTGTGCTCCCTATGCTGTTCTGTATAGTTACAACAGCACACTTTGGTTTTGTGTAAATTCAGCATCTAAAATTGTATATTTATAAATATGCTGCTTTTTAAAAAAAAATAGATTTTAGTGTGGAAATATAAAGCCATGAATTTTCTCTTTTGTTATCTGTAAAAGATTTCAGTACTTGATAAATGTGTGTGTTAAACTTTCAGGATTTTTTAAAAATCAAAACAACAAGCTTTAAGGACACAGAAGCATTTCCTCACTTAGCCATCGAAATTTATATAGTTCCAATCTTTATACCATGTAAGCACCTCACAATCTTTAATGGATTTTATTTGCACTTTGGTTCTGCATTTGACATGTCAGATCTGATGCAGAGAATGACCAAGGAACTTGTAAAAGAAACTGCTATCTCGGGCAAAGCAGGGATTTGAACCTAACGTCACTGCTAAATTATGCTCTTGTATTCATTATGGATTGTATTTGAGAAAGTTCTCTGGTCTGCTGCCAAGACTGTCCTTTCAGAATTAAGCTTCTCATCTTCCTACATCTAGAACTTGGAGGAATGCTCAGTTCAAGTCAGTCCCAGTAATGAGGATTTCTCCTTAAGTGGCAAATGGTTAAACTGAAATGGTCATCAGTTAGGCTTCAGACTTAACAGTTGATATGACTGGGACAGATTATGCCTTTCAGCTAGTTTACAGGTGCAGCAAGGCTGTATTACTGTAAGCTAGATTCCGCTGTTTTCACAGCACTTTGGTAAGGAAATCATAATTTTGAAAATGCATGAGATGGTTTTGCATTCCTAACTTTATGAACTGTAGTGGAAACAATATGTGTGGACAGTTGGAATATAGGTACATTCTAATATGACTCTACAGTACTAAATAGGTTGCAAAATAATTTCTGAATAAGGGAGCAAATATCATGCAATTTGTTTAAAGAGCAATCTTGTGGACATTTGTTATACTTCTATAGAAGTAATAGTAGGGCATGTGTTATATGACTGCTTGATCACATCTTTACTTATGCAAAGAGTCATTTAAAAGTTAATACAAGCAAGATCCTTTAAAGACTAAGAAATATTATTCTGAGTTTGTTTGTGAAATTTTAAAAGAAATGGGAGCATAATGGTATATTAATGAATAATGTGAGCAAAACTTCCCTGAGAAGCTTTTGATTGTTGCTGCCTACTAATTAAGAAGCTGATGGGAAGGTGGGAGTTAGAGGGTGATTTTCTAGAGTCTTACAGGTAGGAAGTTGGTACTGGAACAGAGTTTAATTTGTTTTAATTTCTCTATAGGCAAGCAAATCTACACCTGGGACCACCATGTTCAAGGGACATCAAGAGGAAACGAAAGCCACCTGCAGCCTCCATGTCCAGCCCAACATCAGGTAACCTGAATTTATCTGTGTGCCAGCATTTATAAGTTTATGTCCCTCTTGAGCAAAGTGCCAGAGTTACAGTAGTCAAAAATAGCATTACCTTGATTTGAAACTAATGAAATGTGTGAGAAAGGCAGTGTGAGAGAGACACAACATGTGTTTCTGCATAGCGTCGAAAGCTGCTTACTAAACAAATCTTTGATGATGCAGCTATGGTAAATTAATACAATTTACAGTTCTTCACTATACAGTGGGTAATAATCTGTTTCTTCATAAGGTGTTATTTCCACCATTCCTAAATCATTCAGTTCATGGTAATAAGGAGGTGATCAGTACACAGTGTGTTCCTTCAGTGTTGGGCTGACATTAGCTGGTGACTCTGGTGCTCTTTTTCAGGGTGTTTCTAGACACTTTCATCGGAATAGAAATCTGACAATTTTTGTATCATCAACGTGTGACACCACACCACTTACTCCCTGGGAGTTGTCTTATTCTTGTGGATTAAAATAGTCACTTTGTTCTTTTTCTTGCTCTGGGGATATAGTGATTAATATACTGGTTTATTTTCATGTGGTGTATTTCTGGAAGGTGATTGATTACTAACCAGAATCTGAAAAAGTTTTAATCTGCAGAACACAGAGGGGTTTAGGAGACTTCTTTCTGGCCTCTCACCCTACCCTCTCTTGAAATATTATGCCTACTGTCAGACAACAGATGTTCTTCCAACTAGCTTATTAAAAACTACGGTTGTAATTCAGTAACAAGGCGGTGGGTAAGATGATGGGGAAAAATGGTGATGTGAAAACAGTGGGGAAGTCCAAAGGAACTGATGATGAATAGGAGGAATGAAGTTCGAATTTCTTCCTCTGGGTGATGGATAGACAGTAGAATAATGAAGTAGGGAAGAAAGTTGTGCTAGCTCTCTAGGCCACAGATCTGGATTAGAGATTCTCTGAAAGGTTCTGTATTAAAAAAGAAAATAACATTAAATCAATAATCAGTTGCTCAGAAAAAGTGCCATCTGTTATTGACTGCTTATTTAGGATATTCTTTCCTGGCTTTTGAGTGTGCCATTCTAGCATATGCAAACTTCTGTAGAGAAAGGGTTAGTAAAATCATATATCTGTAGCCACAGAATTTTAGTTTTGCGATATTAGGTTTTCTTGGTATGAATGCTAGTGTCTCACTGTCCCCTGTTACCTGTACATTTATTTATTGTTCAGAGTGTACTCTGTACTTCACTGCTGGTCACTTTCTATAGTAAGAGCTTCTATTTCTATGCCTACATATTTAAAATTATTGTGTAAATTGTACTTACCTGACTAGGCAAATTGTACAGTGAACACTTTTTGAAGAATCTGCATCTGGAGTGGATCTCAGCACTGGAAAATAGTACAAAGGTTTGAAAGGTTTTTTTGGTTTTAGGGATGAGGGACAGAAAATTAGAGTATGTACTACAAAATAAGGAAGAAGAGTGTAGTTACTGAAATCTGGATCGAATGCTGATTGTCAAGAGGAAAGTGTTGCAAGATCTTTAATAGTCAGAAATGGTTAAGAGCTCTTCCTTAGACCCTGTTTAGAAATATCCCCAACAAAGTTAATGGCTATGGGCAGGGTTTGCTACAATACTGACTTGCAGAAAGAAACTTTTACAACCAGCTAAGTGAAGCTGTGTCCTAGCTGACTTTCTACAGCGGTCTCCCAGTTGCAGCTGAAGTGCAGCCTGGGCATGTAACTTAGAAAATTCTGAAATCTGATATTATTTCTGTCAAAGGTGATCTTAATGTGGAGTTACTAATGCCTAAAGAAATACATAGGATTAATTTACAATAATGTAGAATTAACTGAAGACTCTTACCTTGTTAGACATTGATGAGGTAGATAGAGCTTGCCATGCATCTATTTGCCCCTACATAAATGTCTTATACTGGGGTTCCTCTGTATGTGAAGAATCAATGCAGCCTCACTTTCTCACTACAGAGGCTTTTTATGGTTGTGATGTTTTACTTCTGCAAAAGATGAAATACAGGTGAATCAGAATGCAGGCCCGTGTTTGTCACTGCAGGCACAGAGTGCTGGATTTCTTCACCTTTAAATAGCTCCTTAGATGAGTCCAACTGCTCTCGTCTCACTTGTTGACCAGGTCCTGCTTCAGTGATCTCCTTTCTTGCAACCTGAGTGCCCCATAGAGGTGAAGGACACAGCCTGAGCTGGCTCCATCAGTCAGCAGAACAAATGGGCTTGCTCTGCCGAACATCGGGCCATCTCGGATTCCACCTCTTTTATAGAGATGAGTGATGAAGAGGGGCTCGTTCCGCTTTGCCGCTGTATTAATACACATCAGGGGCCAGCTCCCGGCACTAAATCACGCTACTGCATACATCTGTTATCGGACTCCTCACCAGTGTGATGAACAAGACTGCAGATAGAGGCTTCCTCGTGTCATTCTTTATAGGATTTCCTAAAAGAATAAATAGCTCAAATCTCTGCCAACACTCTCCCCTGTCATTGTGATGAATTTAGCTTCTTTCTTAAACATGCAGCTACAAATCTTCCCCTGTCGCCTCACTCCCCACCATCCACAGAAAGTTTTGAGTTGAATTTGGCTTAAATCAGAAAATGCTAATAAAAGGCATGAGATGTTGTTGCTATCTTCCTCCTAGCTGCAGGAATGAGAGAAGGGAGCTAGAGATGTGTTTATTTGGGAGTCAAGCAAACTAAGTTTATTCCATGTCTTCTCACAGACTTTCATGAATGTGAGTATTAATTGGGTTCTGGTAAAGCATCTTTTGTCAGAGACCCTTGTATGAACATCAAAAAAAATGCATTACTGTAGCAGAAGTGCCTAAGTCTCTATTGTATTGTTATAGCATTAAACTTCTGGTATTAGTCCTGCGCTTTGAGGCTAACTGGCCTAATACCATAACTGAGATAGCTGTTAAAAGAGTAACATTTTGGAAAAAGGCCTAGCTGTTGAGAGCAACAGAAAGTGGATAGAAAATTCAGAATTCATTTGCACTTTAGGAAGTGACATCAAAATTAAATTGGGCAAACTTACATAAATATTGAGAGAGATTGAAATTGAAAGTTAATGCTTTCTACACTATGCAATTGAGCAGTGTGTGAGCCCTAAAGCATGAGGCTTTGACCAGGAAAGAACAAAAGTCTGGCTGGTGTAGTTTGGCAGCAGAATAAGGAAATCTGGAGGAAGTAAGACTGGCTGTAGTGAGTTAGACCAGGAGTTCATCCAATTCAGTGACCAACAGCCAGTGCCTAGGGAGGAGGAAAGTCTGTAGCGATAAAGGTTCTTTGAACTTTCAGTGATCTAAGATGTAGGAGTGTCAAAGGGCATGGATAGTGCCCTTGTGTTTAGTTACTTTCCGTTGCAGTGCAATAAAGTTGGAATGATGTCTCCAGTGGCCCAATAGGTAGAGCTTGCCTGAGAAATACTGTGTAAAATGTTATTCTCATGGTTTGAAAGGGATGTGATGAAAACTGTCATGTCTGTCTTCTGTTTGTCAGAATAGGCCACAGATATAGATAGTTGTGAAATAAATGGTGAACCATTGTCCAGCTTTACATTGATGTTTTTAATGTTTATGTGGTCTGGTCCCCTATGTATGTAGAAGTGCATGTGGTAACTGGCATCCTACCCAGGTATTACAGTGAGTCTGGAGGAAAAATCTGCATAGATTTTCACCTTGGCATGTATTCACACTTAGCTTGTGAAAAACAATAATTTCTAAAAGGTGCCAGTTAGCAGCCTCTGAAACTGCTTACCAGATACTGGTTTGATGAGTAGTAGTGATTTGGTGAATTTTTCCTTTCCTATTTCTTGCTAATGCATGGATTCTTTGTGATGGTGTGATGGTACCCAGCAGTAAGAAGCCTGTTTTGGTCCTTTGCTTTTTTCTTTTTATGAGCAAAATGGAGAGCCTGAGTGGGGAGGTGGCTAGTGAGAGGCCCATAGCATAGTATTGGTGGTGATTATTAGTTTAAGGACTTTGACTTTTTTTTTTTTTTTTTTTTTTTTTTTTTTTTTTTTTTTTGCATGTGAACTTCAGATGGAGGAAGTTGATGGGCTAGAGGTAAAATATGCAATGTACTGTTATCAGCTGTGTTGTTGTGGTTGTATGGGAATGACTCACTGTTTTGGATGCAAGAAGCAGGATTGTTTGGGTTCAAGATCTACTGAGTGTGGAACCTCAAGCATTGAACCAGCTTATTATTTAAACTTCAAAGCAATCAGTCCTCTAGTTGAGGCTTGTTATAGCTTCTTTATCCTTCATCCACTACAGAACAGCAGATGCAACTTGTAGTAAAAACACAGAAATAACTATTATCTGTTGTAAGAATATGATGAAAAGGAGATGTGTTTTGTACTGAAGCAGTTACTTGTTAAAAAAAAGTTCCAGTTGCCCTGAAGAGTCCTGTGGCCCTGTTCTGTTTGTGGGGATTGAATGATTCAGGATACCGAGAATGGAAGTAAACTCTCACATCTCTAGGTTTCTGACAGTCCTTCTGGAAATTTTTGTGACTTTTGGGTTGAGCCATGGATCTGCAAAACTTTCTTGCCAATAATAGCCTGTCCCATTTTGAAGCAGTGGTTGCATTGAGAAAATGAGAATGGATTCCAGCTTAGCTTTTAGCTAGTAGCTTCTTGTTATAATATGTAGATTTACTGTATGGGATATATGTGGGGGTTCATGGGACTGCCTTTACTGGGTAAGGAGGAGAGGTGTATTTTCCTCTTTAACTGAACTTTGCAACCTGAAATTTGTGAAGCCTTCAGAGACTTCAAAATTCTCAGATATACAGGGTTAATCAAGTCTGTGAAAAGATCAAGTTATCTTCATTTGAGTGATTATGAACTGATTCAGGTTATGTATGGGACAGCTAAAGCTCTGGATTTTCAATGGAAAATTTGACTACAGGAACTAGTTAGTGGACTGGGAACTTGGGAGGCCTAAATATGAGAATCATTAGGGCAAAGGTGTTAATGCTGTCAAGAACCCGTATTTCAAAGGCATTTGGCAAGGGAAGCTGTAGGAACTCGGTAAATAACACCTTCATGTAAGAAATTATATACATGAGGCATTTGCCATGAAGTCACTTGTTCTAACTTTTTTTTTTATTGCCCTTTCCTACTCTCTTCCTCTGTTCCCCCTTTCCTGCAATTTTATATTCCAGCAACTTTATCTGTCCCCATGGATGCAGCAGAGTCAGAGCTACCAGCAACACCATCTCTGAGATCCCAGAACTCTGAGTGGACAGGGAAAACACCAGCAGTCGAGAAAGCAACTATTGCTGCCTCCAGTAACTTTTTTAAAATGCCACCAGAGAAGAGTCCTGGATACAGCTAAAACGAAGTATTGCAACTGTAAAAGCTTTCTGGATTTCAGAAGTGTTTGACTGGTGTGTGTCTTCCCCAAATATCTTGTTTGGCAGTAGTGACATCTTCAGTATTGGTGCATGATGTGTGCCATCATCCAGGCTGATCTGCGTGCCCCACATACCTAAACCATGTTTGTGAATCTGTTTTAAAAAAGGTAATCAGTGTTGGGACCGCAGTAGCTTTTAAAAATGTTCTTGCTATTGATGTATTTATTATGCATTCATCTCCTTCCCTGATGCCAGCTCATATGTGCTGGGTCATGTACAGTTTCTTTTGGGTCTTCAGATCCTTCTTCACTCCTGGATATGTTGCTTGTTTGTGATTTGGCATTTTTTGGATGAAAGTCCCACTACTGCTCAGGGAGGCAAAAGTCTCCCCCTGCTTTCTTCTAGGCCAGGAGGATTTCTTGGCTGGGGAATGAGAAGGGAATGCAAATAGGTTGAAATATGAAACCTGAATTCTGTATTAGCAGAATGTTTGCAGGCCATGTGCTACTGGACTCAAATCATGTTGCTTCTAGTGAAGCAAATATGGTGCTTGTCCATTCAGAAATTGCCATTGGCTCACTGGCAGCATGGTCTGTTAGACCTTTTCCTTCTCCTTTGTTCTGAATGTCTTTAGTCTTGCTTGTGTATTGCATGTTTTTTCCTAAATGTCCTACTGGATAAGGATTTAGGAGAACTACTTGGACATAAATGTGCAAGCTGGTGTCCTGGGAGGGAACCTGGGTCCTTGAATATCCTTGGAGTATGGTAGAAGATATACAAAACTTCCATTTCTCGGTATATAAATTAAAAAATTACTGTTAGTATTTCTAAATGATGCTTGCTGTTGAAGTTAATGTGCCATTGAACAAAAAAGCCATTTAAAGTATCACCTGAGTTCAGAGCATTCTGGATATTGATCGGACTGCTTCTGTCTCATGTTTTCTGTCCCTTCAAAAAGTATTGTCTGCTGTATCTATTGGAGGTGTCTCCACCTACTGATAATTGTATTTTACTCCGCATCATACACAAAAGAGATTCTCTTCATAGCACTTCCAATTAGTCCCTTGTTACTTTCTGTGTTGCAGAATATATGGATAATGATTTATTCCCTCTCTTTTCTTGAATTCTTGATCACACTCCACTTACTTTTCTTGAATTATTCTGGAGCTTATTTTGGGTTATATTTTTAGAATATATACCTGCTTAGCATATGTCAAGGAACAGGTGGCCTCATGTCTTAAGTCCTTTAAAAATAGGATATATTTGTATGCATAGAACTCTTTTTGCTTTCCTCACCAGGTGGAACTTTCAGACAGGTCTGCTTAAGCTTGTAAAATTCATTTTGAATGTGAAGGTGCAGTTAGCACTCTTAAGCAGGTAACAAAATTTACATGTTTTTAGTGGTTTTGCGGTGTTCTGCTCTTCTTATAAATGCTGAGGGACAAATTTGATTATGAGGATATAAAGCAGTGATTTATATTTAACTCTGTATTAAAATGTTAAATGGTCATAACATACACAAAACAAAAATTGAATGACTCACTAAATCATGATTGACAAATACAGTTATATTACAGACATGCTGTCCGTGTCTGATCCCTTAATACCTACTTATTCTTGAGGAGACATCCAAATTGGATTTATATTTCACAGCCCAAGCAAACTGTCAGATCTGTCCATGTAAATCCCTCTCAAACCCTTTTGGGTTTTGTTGGGTTTTTTTTTGGTGGTAGTACATTTTAGAACTAATTAGAACAGGAAAGCCTTTTTACCTTGCTGAAGGAGTACAGAGGTCAGTTTGGATTACAGGACAAGCTGTAAGGATTTTGTGGAGAGAGGAGTGTTCCTGTTTTAAAGTAGCCATTGGATTGTTTTATTTTGTAGTTATTTTGAGCAATGGTGCTTAAGAGGTAGCACAAGAACTCTCAGCACTGTAGGGCCTGTAATCTAGAACATACAATGAGAAGGTAAACCTGAAGAGTAGTAGCTTGGCTGTCTAGTACTTAATGAACACAATGAAGGAGGAAAGGTGGTCACATTCTCTTTACAACCTGCAGATAAATTTTAGGATTGGAAGCCTTGTAACCTAACTTGTAGGCTGTTTCAGTGACAGGGAGGTTCCCTAAAAGAAGATTTGTGCAGTTGAGTTTTTTTCTCTAGGGGCAGGGAAAGATAATTTATCAGATTTTCCTATTGAGGTCAATAGCACTGTTCATCTGGTTAAGCCTTACTTAGGCTGTAAGCTTCTAGGAGGTCTTCCTTGCCTTAAAGGTTGAATGTACCTGTGGCAATAAGGAGGAGTAACTGTGGCAGGCCTTGTCTTGGTAAGCCATACTTCCTGCCATGTCAACTTTCTGAAATGCCAGGAGACTCATGTTCTTGCAGCTGCCTTTGTCTTTTCTATTTATAAGTTAGAATCCATTTGCAGGTCAGTCAGACTCTCAACCAAATTTGTTTCTCTGGAATGGTAGACATGCTAAATGAATCACACATCTTGTTACTCCAGGGTATTTATTAAAATTCATTTTCAGACTTCAGTAGCTTGATGCAGATTTGAATATTTGCAGCATTCTTCGATGAATGAACTAGGTGCATTGTTTCGTCTCTTTCCCTCTAAGGCAGATTCCTTAGAACTCATGGAGTACTTACACAGTACTCGCAGTGAAGGACACAGTGCTTCAGATGAGTAGAAAAGAATAATAATAATGTTCCTTGATTTGGTAGCTGTGCTTCTACTAAGGAGGTCTAGTGTGTGATTAGTGCTTCAAAGATACACAGTTCACTCATATTCCACTTGTCCACCAGGACTCTCCAGTCTTTTTCCAGGTTTGTCTTCTCTCCAGTTTTTTTTCTGTCTTTGTCCTTATGGGAGACTTCAACTTCCCAGACATAACTGGGAATACCATACTGCTGTGACAAGCAAGTCTGGCAAATTCCTGAAGTATGTTGAAAATAATTTGTCACAAGCACTCAGTGAGCCATCTAGGAAAGATGCCCTCCTAGACTTCATATTTGTGAATAGCAAAGGACTTGTGGAAGATGTGATGGTAGGTCGCTGTCTTGGGCACAGTGACCACGAAATGCTTGAGTTTAAGATTTTTAACATAATCAGAAAAATGATCAGTAGAGTTGCTACCCTAGGTTTCAAGAGAGATAACTTTAAGCTATTCAGTGAGCTAGTTAGCAGTGTCCCTTTGGAATCTACTTTTGAGGGCTTAGGCGTCCATGAGTACTGGTCTGTTTTCAAGAACCACCTTTTAAAAGCACAAAAGCAGGCAATCCCTTTGTGTTGAAAGTCAAGCAAGCAGTGCAGAAGACCAGTTTGGCTGAACAGGGAACTCATCTTGGAACTCATTGTTTGATCTCTGGAAGTAAGGTCAGGCTTCACAGGAAGATTATACAGCTGTGGTTGGCATATGCAGGGAGAATACACAAAAGGCCAAAGCTTAATTAGGGTTTAAACTGGCCAGTGTTGAGTCAGACAGCAAGAAAGGCTTTTTGAAATACATTAATAGCAAGAAAAGGTCTAAGGAAAACATTGGGTTGATATGTGTTGGAGATGGTCACCTGACAAATCGGGATGAAGAAAAGGTGGAGGCATTCAAAGCTTTTTTTCCTCAGTCTCTAATAATACTGATAGACCTTGGACTGCCTGGTCATCTGCGTTGGAGGACTGTGACTGCAGGAATGTTGATTTTCCATTTGTGGACACTGAAATTGTAAGGGACCAATTGTATCAGTTGAATGTTCATAAGTCTATGAGGCTGGATGAGATTCATCCCTAAGAACCGAAGGAGCTTGTGGATCTTGCAGCAGGACCCCTCTCAATCGTCTGCGAAAGGTCTTGGGAGTCTGGGGAGGTCCCTGCTGATGGGAAGCTGGACAATGTTATTCCAGTTTACAAGGAAACTTACAGACCTGTTAGTCTAACCTTAGTACCTGGAAAAATTATGGAGAAGATCATACTGGGTGCTGTTGAAAGGCATTTAAAGGACAATGCAAGCATCAGGCACAATCAACATGGGTTGACAAAAGGAAAGTCCTGTTTAACTAATTTGATATCCTTCTATAATAAGGTCACTGACCTAGGAGATGAAGGGAAGGTCGTGGATGTAGATTTTCTGGATTTCAGTAAGGCTCTTGATACTTCCCTCACAGTGCCCTTCTGGACAAGCTGTCCAACTGCAAAATGAGCCAGTACGCAGTGTGCTGGTTGAAGAACTGGCTGAACAGCAGGGCTCAAAGGACTGCAGTGAATGGGACTCTATCTGCCTGGTGACCAGTCACCTGTGGTGTTCCTCAGGGTTTGATTCTAGGGACAGTTCTGTTCAGTGTATTTATCAATGATTTGGATGCAGGAGCTGAGTGCACCATTAGCAACTTTGTTGATGATACTAAAGTGGGAGGTGCTGTTGACCTCTCAAGGACAAGAGGCCTTGCAGAGCAATCTAGATAGATTGGAGCATTGGGCAATCATCAATGGCATGAAATTTAACTGTGCCAGATTCTGTACCTGGGACGGAGTAATGCTGGACACAAGTATAAACTGGGAGAGGAGTGGCTGGCAAGCAGCCCTGCAGAAAGGGTTCTGGCGAAGCTAGTCAGCAGTCAGCAGTGTGCCCTGGCAGCCATGAGGGCAAACAGCATCCTGGGGTACATCAAACACAGCATAACCAGCTGGTCAAAAGATGTGATTATCCCTCTGTATTTAGTGTTGGTGTGGCTTCACCTTGAATACTGTGTGCTGTTCTGGGCTCTACAATTTAAAAAGGTTGCGAAGGTCCTTGAACGTGTCTAGAGGAGGGCAACAAAGCTGGTGAAAGGACTGGAAGGCCTATCCTGTTAGGAGTGGCTGAGGACTCTGGGTTTATCTAGTTTGAAGAAAAGGTAATTGAAGGATGAGCTCATTGCTCTCTACAGCTTTGTGAGGAGGGAAACTGGAGAGCGAGGTGCTGAGCTCTCCTCCTTGGTATCCAGTGACAGGACACATGGAAATGGTTCAAAGGTGTGTCAGGGGAGGTTCAGACTTGACATTAGAAAACGCTTCTGTATAGAGAGGGTAGTCGAACACTAGAGCAGGCTTCCTAGAGAGGTGGTCAATGCTCCATGCCTGTCAGTGTTTGAGGCATTTGAACAATGCCCTTAAATTATTATACTTTAACTTTTGGTCATCCCTGAAGTGGTCAGGCAATTGGGCTAGATGATTGTTGTAGGTCCATTCCAACTGAACTATTCTGCTCATGAGGTTTCTGTCTTTTCATTCCTCCAATCTGTCAAGGTTCCTCTAGGTGGTACCCCCCTCCAGTATATCCATGGCTGTCCTCCCCAACATGCCATTATTTCTGAGAGTATGTTCTCTGAGAGTATGTTCTGTCTCTTTCCACCACATCACTAATGATCACTGAACAGTATCAATCCCAGTATTGTCTTCTGTATCATGCATTTCGTAACTGACCATCACTCAGATTTCAAACCGTTGATCATTATTCTTTGAGCCTGACAGTTCAACCAATTTCGTGCTGACCTTTTTTAGTGGATGGCATCCAGTCCACAGCTCCCTCATTTGGCTATAAGGATGCTATGAATGACTGCATCGAGAGGCTTGCTGAAGTCAATGTAAACAGCATCCACTGCCCTCTGTGCATTCTCAGAGCCTGTCATTTCATCATAGGAGGCAGTCAGGTTCATAGGCATGATTTTCCCTCATTTAATCTGGCTGCCTGTTCCTAGTCACCTTCTTGTCCTTTGGGTGCCTGGAAATGGCTTCCAGAACTTGCTCCATAAAGCTACAAGGGACTGATGTAGGGCTGACTAGCCTGTGTAGGAAAGATCCCCAGAACTTTCTTCCTGCCTTTTTAAAAAGGTGACATGATACATACCCCTTCCTGTCACTGGGGACCTCATGCAATTGTTACAGTTTTTCACAGATGATAGAGACCAGTCTTATAATGACATACTTTTGCAAGCAGGGCTTTATGTACAGGGAGCAGATGGACATTCAGGGAAAGAGAAATCAAGAGCTGGGAGGAGCATGTTTAGTAGTTCTTATGCACATTTCCAGTAGTTCCAGTGGGTTCTAGTGAGGCTTAATGCCCAGTCTGTAGGTACTGGAGAAGTGTGAATTAAAATAATGTTGTTTCTGGCCTGATGGATTTATGATTTTAAGGTAAGGTACAGTAAAGAGTGAAGAAGGCAACAAAACAGTAGCTGGGAGAAACTCATAAGTGGCTGTGACTAGTGCTACTAAATGATAGATTAGCTTCATGTTTGTGATATGCAAAGGTGTGTCTTGCCAGCATTCCTGAATAATGACATTGAGATGGTTAGTGCTGTCCTTCCAACTGTAGTAAGCTGCTACAAAAAACAGTGTGTGTGTCTGGATATCCAAAAAGGAATTATGTAAACTGGATAAGAACTTTGCGTTGTTGTCTTAGGAACAGTTTCATAACGAGAGAACATTTTAGTGAAGCAAAAGTGAAGGATGCTACCAATCACTTGTTCAGAAAATTTATTTTAATAGTCTGTTAGGAGACTATCAAAGGAGGACAAACTTACTTTTTCATTGTGGTATATTGCATTACTGTGTCTGTCCCCTGCATTCTAGTCCAGTTTGTGTTTTGTGCTTGAGACATCCTGCTTTTGTACCATCAAATATGGGAAAAATACAGCAATGCTTCTTAAGGCATAAAGCATAAGGGACCACTTGCTATACAGAAAGCAAGGCAAGATTGTCTTAGGCCATTAACTTTTACCCAGTACAAAGACTGAACTCGGCATAGAGAACATAATGTCTTAATTATACCACAGTGTCTCATTCTTAAGAAAGTAAACTGTGCTATAGGCAAGTGCAGGGAGACTAAACTGTCACCAGTGCCTGGAGACTGGTTCATGGCTGGCCCTCAGTCAGGTGACATACAGATTTATGTTGTGGAGACAGAGGGAACCTTCAACATCCTTCTCCACTTTAATGTGGGTAAAATACCTTCCTAACTGTAAATCTGGCTGTTAATGTGACTCTAGTAAGTTGACAGAGATGTGTTAACTGGCATACCAGGAAAAGAGATTTCTTGTACCAACTCAAAGAACTGGTAAAAGTGGAAAATGGGCTGGCACAACCTGTTATATGAGAGAAAGATGTAAAATATGTATACCCACAGACAATACTCAGAAAAAGGATTGCTGACCCCTGTGTGTATGACCTAGAGCATTCATTGTCTTAAAGCAGAGCTGCCAGTATTATGAGGATGATCAGGGTTTTGCAAAGCTGCCCTCTTTTCCTTGTAACCTCTGAAGGAAATGGGATAAACAGCATAAGAAAAGCTGCACAGGGTCAGTCCAGAGGTCTCTTGGCTTCGTAGTCTATCTCTCACAGTGTCCGGATTTGGATGCCTAGGGGGTACTGTAAGAAAAAAGTAGCTATATAGTGATACTTTCCTTTTACATTCTCTTAGCCTAGTGTTCTGTCTCAGAAAGATTTACAAACTGTTTTTGCAAGGCTAGAGAAAACTTTTGTGAACCTTTTGGCTATAGTATTTATCCTGCAACTGGATTTAATTGGACTTTTAGAAGGACATGAAATCTGACTTTCAAAAACATCAAGCAAGTTCATCTTTCTTAGTCATCAGTTTTCTTATTAATTACCCTCTTTATAAGCAAATTGCATCTTTTCTTGGAATAGTTTTTTCCTAATATCAACATCCTGACACTGCTTTTTGCTATGATTTTTTTTCAGCAAGGTTGAAAAGTCCTATTCTTCCTTTACAGTTAGGCTTCTTTGTCATGTATATCTACCTGTATACCATCAACAAGTTCTATGTAATCCACTAACCCATGTAAGTAATTTTTCATAATCTTTACACTGTAAAACTTGTCATTTAACCCTTAATTATGCTTCTGCATGAAAATCCCCCGTATTCCACATCCATCTGCATTCAGTTTTAGTGTCTACACTTAGAGTATTCTTTATAGAAGCAGGAACACTTGCTTCCGTATTGCTATTCAGGCTTCATATACTCATCTATCTAAACATTATGCTAGCCCTTGCTGCCCAGACGCTGCTGTAACACTACTGTAAAAGTGATATTTAGGCAGTTGACTCTGAATTTAAAGTTCTTATCACCAATTTTCAATGTAAAAGATCCTAGAAAGTAAGAATAATCTTTTTTTTTTTTTTCTTTATTCCAAAGTGTATTGCATTTCCTTTAGCAATATTACAGTGCAATTTTGGACTGACAGTTTTTATAATTTGGAATACTTAAGATCTCAGTCTGTTTATTTTATCAGAAGAGCATCAGAGATATCATGCCTGTGTGGTAGAAAGTCTTTTATGGAAATGGAAATACTAGGTAATAAAGTGTCTCTTGTCTTGAGCAGGTAGACATAAAAATGATTTTGAAACTAAAGCCGGATGAATTCAAGTTAGAAATAGGGTGTAAATTTTTGACAGTGAGGACAGATTAACCATTGGAACAAAATACTGTGGGAAGCAGTAGCTACTGTGTATCTTCAGGCTTCAATTTGCAGACAGCAGCTTTATGGAAGGAATGTTGTAGCCAAATATAATCCACTGAAATAAATACAGAGCCATCCAAAAGATACTGAATGGTCAATTTTATAGTGAAAGGCCAGTCTGCATGAAATTATTGTTGCTTCTGGTTTAGAACCTCAGAGAAGACAGAAGACTTTTTTTCTACAGTATAGAGATCTGTTGAAAAATTGGAAGTGTTTTGGCAAACGCAGGGAGAAGTCATGGTGATGGAAGTTTGTTGTTGTTACCAAAAGATTGTTATGAAATATACATGGGAAGGTGAAGTGAGAAAAAAATTTATCTGTGCCAACTGAAATGAAGCATCATTTCTGCATGCCACTTTATTTGTTGAGTAGTATGACATATGAGTATGCAGTCATCAGAACCTACACGATCTCTCAGTTGAAGAGTGTTCTTGGTGAGGGTTCCCCCTTTTTGCTGTACTAGCAGCTAGAGTTCTGCTGTCTTGAGACAGTGTTGCCTGTGTATGTGCTCAGCTCAGCAGCTCTGTCTCAGCTCATTTGCTCAGCTGTGTGAACTGCCTGCACATTGCACTGAAATCAGAAACAAATGAGAGAGGGCATTGGTGGGTTTATTACCTTGCCAAGAGTATGCAGTATCTTTCTTAATCACTATAGCAGTTGTTGCTTCTTTTCCCTCTCATGTATATAAGGAAGATGCCTCTGTGTAGATGTGCCCTTCACCACACTGCAGGAGAAGATGGTAGGCTTCTCCAAGTGGAGGAGCTCTTCTGTGCTCATCTGAGAGGAGATGGTGGGACTGGAGGAAGCAATTTTCTGGTAGTGTGTTCTCTAACATTAGGGAGCAATGTCTTGTTCAGCTTTGAAATAGATTATGCTGTACCTTTGTTTTTAAATGAATGTAAAATTCCAGTGATGGAATAGTGCCACATTTGAATTGTTGCTTCAGATCTCAAGTCTTGGACATAGTGTTAATGTCCCATGCTAGCATTTGTTTTTGTTGCCCAAATTGGTGTATGTGGGACCTCACTGCTGGAAGCTCTTCTAAGAGTGCCATGAACTGAGACTGGTCTGGCCTGACCAGAGCCCCTGGGCACTGCTGAAGCCATTGAATTTTCTCTCAAGTTTGGCAACACCAGACCAAAGCTGGTATAGCCAAACTGATGGTATAGCCAAAGCTATACCATCAGTTACATTCTAGCTTCATCCTTCTGTCCCAGGGGGCTTACCTGAAGACAGTTCTCAAACAGGTTTACTCAAAATCTTTAAAGACCTGCATTGTGCATGTCTCAAATGTTCTTTGTGGTCATAAGATTTAACCGTTCAATAGGGATTGGTCTCTGGGTTCCTAGGATTCTATTTTGGGGATAACATGTAAATAAAGGAGATCCTTGCTTGTAGTCCTTTGTCTTAAACATGATGTGTATTGTCTGAATGAGACTCTTGCAGAATCTTTGTTCTGATTATAAAAACTAGAAATAAATCAATATATGAAAGAAATGTTTTATCTGATATAAAGCAAACTGAGTTGAGTGTGGGAGAAGAGGTTTCACTGACATCTAACTAGATTTACGGTATCGGAATGTCCAATAATCTGCATGCTTCCTTGACTGGTTCCTTAAGTATAAACTATAACCTGAGGGTCTGTAGGGAGTTACTATGCTTTTCTTCCTTTGAATTGAAAACCTCAGTGAAGGATTTGAGGTAATTTATCATGTCCATTCTTTGTTTTTTGCAATAATTTTGTTTCCCAGTTTGTCATGAAGTTGTCTCTAGACAAGTGAGATGTTCCTTGCTTGGAATTTGAAACAATTCCAGAGTTTCTTAAGTAGCTGTTCACTTCCAAGTCATTATTTCAGTCCAAAAGGAATTTCATTTAGATGAGCAAGGTCAGTCTCCACTGATAGTTTAATGGGTATCTATTCATTTTGCCAGTGCTAACATCCTTTTAAGATAGATTGGCATCATTCTTTTTTACCATGATAGCAGTGGCTTCAAAGATCAAATGAGTAGTGGATTTTGAATTTTCTTTTGCATATATTTGTGTCCCAGTATTGATAGCTATGCACACTCATGGAAGGAAGGAACAAAACAGGACTCCCTCAGTCTTAACTGTTCCAATGAATAAATTGTAAAAAATGAGATCCCAAGTTGATTGACTGATTTTAAACAAAAAGATGAAGATCCTTTGGAAATTGCTTCAGGTTCTCAACACTATATTAGGAGAGAGGGTGTCCAATTTTAAAAAGTTATCACTTTCCTCTCTCATCTACAGACTGCACCTGTGAGAATTGGAAAGTGTTCCTGGAGAAATGTGCTGATTTTTGTTGGGATGACGGAGAACAGAGCTCTTAACAGTAGGTTCTCTTATGGGAAGTGCCTAGATTTAGTACACATTATCAACTATGGGTTACAATCAGAAATGTCAGATATCTAAAAATCATTATGAGCCAGTTCAGTCTTCTACCTACTTACATTTTTTTTTCCTGAGGAATGAAGCATTTCATTTGATAACTGGAGGCATTTCTATAAAAAAAGAAGAAAAAAAAATCTGAATGGTTCTTGTTTACACTTCCTTTATTTTACATCCAAGGGCTGAGAATTTTCTCAGTTCAGTTTGAATAGCTGGTGGTCAATTCAGTAACAGGGCTGACTGTGGTGGCTTTTGCTATTTTGATGTTTTTCAGACCATGCTTGCTTCATACTTTCCAGCTCAGAGAATCAACTGAAACTACAGATGTCTACAAGTAGACTTGCTACATACTAATGGAGGATTTCTTGCAGCTAAATAAAGGCTATTTCAAATCTGGGGGTACAAAATTTTTTTCTCTACTGAAGTAAAGCAATTTTCCAATAAGAGCAGATACTAAATAAGAGGGTTTTTTATGAAACATAGAGTTTCAAAATGCTAAATGATGTTAATTTAGTTTATTTCTAGTGGGGGAGCAACAGGGAAGTACCTAAAGATGAGAACAAGATCTTACTTTGAGAAGTGTCATGGCTGCTTCCTCACATACTGCCTGCAGGGGCACTGATGGCAAAATAGTGATTCTGTTAAGCTAATGCCAGCACTGATGTTGATGTTTTTCTAGTAATTTTGGCACCAGCTTCCTGAGAGGTTCACCAACATTGCCTTAGGACTTTTCATCCTGCTTCACTACATAATTTGCAAGTGCTTGGATTCACCCAAACATGCATTGGAAACATGCATTCCCATTTTGAGAAAGCCAAAGGTGAAGACACTCAGTGCTGAGTGTATGGTGAGTAAAAGAAGTCCTGTGTTTTCTTTCCTGGCTGTGCAATGTCACCATGAAAGAAGCCTATACAAACAAGAGTAGCAAGAGGAGCTTTCATGAGCCTTTTATCCCTTGTTGGTCCTTTCAAGTACTGTGGAGACATCAAGGAGTGGGAATGAGGAGTACAGGGTCTGATTCCCAGGAGAGAGAATAGGGACCGTGAGGTGTGATATACACACATGTACGTGCGTGCGCACACACACACGCCCCCACCAATAAAAAAAGAAACAAATAGGAAAATTTCTGTTCCCATAACAAACAAGGCTGAAGTTCATGTGGCCAGTGTTGCTGTAATCAGTGCCCTTCTGCGTGCACAGTACAATGCAGTCAAGCAGTTGCATGATTTGTTGCTGGGTTTGAGGGTTGTGTGTCCTGTCCTGTTTCCCCACTCCCATTTCACACTAGTGCCTGCCTCAGTCAGTGTAGGAGGGTTGAGACTCCAAATGTACAGCTGCTTGGGTTTGGGGTTTTTTTCCTCATTTAGACTGACTTCAGGCTTTATTTACTGCACAGCATCCAGACTCTACTCTGAAGAGGGAAGAAGTCATTTCCTTGCTAGTGTCTTCGAAGTACCACCTGCTATGGCATCTTAGAAAGTTAATGAATTTATTTATTTATGTGCTGAGAATTTGGATGTTATTGTCACCCTTATTTTATAGGTGTGGAGTTTAGGTTGGAGTAACTGAAACAAAAAACAGGAGTTACCTCTGAATTTGAGGGGCCCAAGATGAGATACCTGAGCACTAGTGATTTGGAGTGGCTTACTTTGTAGCCTTTTGTTGGTTTAAATCTCATTTCCTACAGATTTCCATAGCATCTGAGCACTCAGAGCTTCAGCAAATCCAGCCACAATTACTGATGAGCTGAGGAGCACTGTCCTCCTTGCTGAAGTCGCTCTCTGATTTCTCACATATCAGAGATATGACAACAGGCAGGCATCTCTCCAGGGCTGATGATCGATTGCTTTCATCACAAGAACTTTGCCTTGATAGTTTCCTGCTTTGTCCTTTCTGTCTTTAGCAGCAAATGACTCGGACCCAATCTCCTTCAAGTCTTGGCCCTTACCTCTCCACAGGTGTGTGCTCTGTCCTCCGTATGAAGCCAGAATCTCAGAAAATAAACTGTATGATCACTTGATTTGGCATTATTGTAATGCATATGCACAGAGGGATGAATTAGGATGGCAGTTCATTTCGTCACTTTTGAGTATTTTTATCTGTAACCGGATAAGTGTGTGTATATAGATAGATTGATTTTATTTATTTTTGAGCTAAGAATTTTTGGTATGTATTTACTTTCTATTGGGGTTTCCTCATAGGGTATTTTAGTTTTCCAACATATACTTTGTCTCTGGAAATACCAATGATTCCTAGACTTCAGAGGAACTGGAAGTGGAAAAGCAGCCCAAATGCATAGTATCACAGAGGATCTGCTGTGAAATAGCTTGTCTGCTACAACTCCAGAAAGAGTAATAGGTAGGTGACAACTTGCTCTTGAGCCATTACACTTTGTATGCTTTTACCTGAACGTCATAGGATGATATGACTATTGACTCGTGTCTTACACTAATATTTCAAGTATTGTCCTCTGATTCTCTTCCCTTAACTCTAGAGTAATGACTGTCCAGTGCAGAAAACCTGGCTGTTGTTTAACAAATCATAAGCTGCCTATTAATACCCAATTCAGCAGAGTTTTAAAATATCAGAAATCTTAGTGTATATTTTGGGAAGAATGCCCTCAGGTCAGAGACCCTCTTTGGAACCAGAATCAATCATCTGTCTGAGCTGTATCAGAAAGAGGAGAAAGGTATGAAGACAAAATGGTACTAACTATTGTCTTTATCTGCTGTTTTGTTCTGTTCTCTCCATTGATGCTCAGGTCTAGATCTTCTAGAGAACTGTATCTTTAAAAAAAAAAAAACCCAAAACAACCAAAACCCAACTCCCTCGCCAAGTTTTTGTAGGATTCTTGTGGCAGACGTGGGTTGGCAGTTCTGTTCACAACTGAATATCCCATTTCTGATATAAACAGATGCCATTAACCTGAAAGATGAAAATCAGAATGTTTCAATTTTTATGAATACTGTCTTGAGATTTGACAGGTAGCTGCAGTTGTGTTATCCTTATCCTTGCAATAAAGTATTATGGACCATATCATTCCTTGCTCACACATTGCACTTTTACACCTGTGCTAAATGGGCATTTTCTGAGCAAAGTGCATTGTTTGCTCAACAGAAGCATAAAAGATGACACAGGGTATGTTGTTGTACACGTTATCTTCTCTCTGCTGACCACGGTGGGTAAAGTCATGGTTGTGCACTACCGTGTGACTCAGAAACAGCTTTGCTGAAAACCACAAATTTATTTCGGGTAAGCTATGTCCCACCTGTATGTATACATTAGTGTAACTGTATTTGTTCCCTGGAAGGACCCAAGTACCAGAACTGGTGTATTCAGAATGTGACTACTCTATCATTCTGCAAGTACCTTGAGTGTTTAGGATATGGATGAGTACAACTTCTACTGCTTGTCACTGAACTACTGCTGGTAATTGAAAATTGGAATACAGTGTTCCCTGGAGAGTTTGTCTGTCATGGAGCTCAAGAGGTTAATATGTAGTTATGTGATGATACTATAATTTTATATGCATCTGCAGATACTGGTAATAGACATTAAAGTGGGCATTTACATCCTTATTATGGGTCAGTACTTGATGTCATAATAAAAAAGTCACATCAGAAAAGTACAGGATAAAAATCTGATTATGCACCTTTTGGAGTGTAAATGGCTTTAAAATTCAAATTGTCACCTGAGGGGAGGATCAGGAAAGAGTCAGAACAAGGGCAAAGGGGCAAAGCTGTGAGATACAAGGGGCAGGATAAAGGAGGAAAAAGAGACAGGCTGGACTAGGCCTTTGCTTGGGCAGTTTATATCCATATGAATACTATACCCCATTACTTAGGCACTTCATGTCATCTCATTAAACTCAAGCTTGAGTAAAAGGTAGACTTTGCAATGGGGTGTGAAGGTCAGTAGACTCCAGATCTTCTGTCTTTCCACAGAATTCAAATCTTCTCACTGGTGGTAGGGCTAAAACTTCATGTGGGTTAATACAGGGTGTTCATTTGGAAAATGACAACCGTCCAAGTTATTAATGTTTCCAAGTCAGGGCAACAGCTGACATTTTCATGAGGCTGTCCTAAGTAACTATGCAAGTAACTGCAATTTCTGGCCCCAGAGCCTGAGGAGGGGGGTGGATACTGGGGGGACTGAGACTGAATCATGAAGGGCTGTGTAGGTTAAAATCAACCAAGAAGTACAGTGAGGACTAGAGCAGCATGTGGAGTGGACTGCATGGGGCAGTAAATTCATCTTCAATGCACTCAAAGGGTTTCCATCATCACCTTGAGTGTCTGTGGGAGCTGAAACCCTATAGCATGTAGAAGTTTGGAAGGATGTTGACCTTACATTTCTTTACTAATTTTTTATCCAAATACATCTTAAAGCAGTCTATAAAGTCTTCACAGTTGACTGAAATTTTAGCGACATTATTTTCTGTGTTGGAAATACGGGGTGCAAGGCCATGAGGTGAGGTAAACAGTTTCTCTCTGCTGAAAGGGGAAGCCTTCTCCTTCCATCTCCACCCCATTGTCTCCCCTTGCCTGACTGTAAGCTCCTGCTGCTCATCTTTCACTTGTTGGACCCCTTTAACTCATATCAACCCCCTTAACTGCAAAAAATGTCTTGATTTCTGCTCTTTTAATCAGTTGATTCAGCTCAGTTGATATATGTGAGGAGTGCCAGAGGCAGCTAAAGGCAGGAGGGCAGGATGGGGCTGGGGAGATGGGTGGGCTGGGAGAAATTCCTGGCGAATAATGGTTTGAATGAAGGAGACACAACTGATAGCACCAAGCTTTTAACTTTGGCTCAAACACTTACAGGCCTGTGCCCACCACCCCATGTTTTCCAGGGTTTCAGCAGCTCATAGGAACTCCACACAGTTCAAAGGTACAAGAGGTGCTTTGGGGAGTTGTAAAGTCACATGGAGATGCCCTTCTAAGAGCTGTGTTCCTCCCAGGCACTCCTCAGGGGTTTTGACACCGTGTTTAGCTGAGGTGAGAAGGGACATTTCCTGTGACATAACCATATATGCTTCCTAAAAAGGGATTATGACTGGAAGGGACTTGCCTGTTCTAGAGAACCCAAAGTGTCTCTCATGTGGATCTCTTCTCTTTGAGGGACTGATTTGTTTATCTATATGAAGTAATGAATAGTGGGGCGAAATGATGGAAAATACTTAGTATCTCTGCACCATGTTTCATGTGATGAGAACCAGCCTTTCTGGTGAATGAGAATGTTACTAAAAAAGACATCTGGCCTTAGCAACAGCTTTCAACAGAAGTACCGAAACGTTGAGGTCCACAGATGGCATGCTCCGCAGCCTTCTGGGATGGGATGTAAGGCAATTTTCTCAGGAAAATAAGAGGGACAGAGAGAAGTCAATACTTTGTGGAAGTTAGAGGGCAAATCTACGGCAGGCCTGAAAGGCTTTTCAAATTGCCTCCCTAAAGGCCTTTATATTTCAGTGTCCCGGCACTAGCAAGGTACAAATAAAACTCCAAGAGGCTGTCTATCCATTCAGTGTATCAGTCAGACACCAAGCGAGTTGATGGCAGACAGTCAGATGCTGAGCAGGGGGCCATTCAGTGATTAACGGATCCTAGGTTTGTGAATGGCCACATCTCCTGGCTCAGATGGCTTTTGGCTGCTGAGAGAACAGGGATGGAGAACCCTATCCCCTTGTTCGCAATTAGTATTTGTTACTAAATGCTGACAGTGTGTTCTCTACTCTCATGTATCTGGTCTTTGTTTATGCACTGGATGTTGGCGCAGGCTTCTGTGCTGTAATGTCTTGCATTAGTTGCTGTTGAAAAGAGTCCAAGAAGCAGTGTGCTTTCAGGAGGACAGGAGGGTGGCTTGGCACCAAAAGAGCAGGACCAATTCTGAGGGAAGGATGAAAATGGGTTTAGTTAAGTGGGAGGCTGTCAAGGAGAAAGCAGCAATGAGTTTATGCACGTCTGCTCTCAAATGTGATGCCAAACACTTTGATGGAATGAGCAGCTAGCTAGGAGGTGTAACCGATCGCAGTAAGGTGAGATAGCCTTGGAAATGGTTTGGTAGAGGGTGATTTTAGCAGACACGGTATCTTTATGTGGATAGGTGGTGCTTGAGGTAGGAAGCATGGGACCTAGAGCATGAGACCACAGTTGCTAGAGATCACCATAGGGGTGGAGATACACAGAGAAGTGATAACAGAGCTCAAGCTGTCTGTGGAGGAGGAGGAGGAGATTAAAAACAGAGACAAGAATGATAAAAAAAAGAATTTAATCTCTGGACCCCCAGCTGATTTAAAGGACATCAGTATATGTGAAGGGCAAGAGTGTCATCATCCTCACATAGGGGAGAGGAGACTTATTCCAATGTGCAGGGTTTACACAGTACCTAGAAGGTCTGAGATGCAACAGCTGGGCTAAATACTAAGGCAGGTGCAATGGCTGCAGTTCCCTGCCCTTCTGTGATGCTGCAGCAGTGTGTGGCGCACACAGTTGGCCATTTTGGAGGTCAGGTCTTTCACTTGTGTGATGAGAACTTGCAGCTCATCTCAGGAGCACATGTGCCAGGATCTACAAAGGACAGATATAGTTTGGTTATGAGAGGGCAGCACTTTAAGAGCTCTTTGTGTCCTGCAGCCCAATCCACTCAGAATGGCTGCAATGAGTTATTTTAAGATCAGAAGTAAACCCAAAGTGGGTCTTTTTTTTTTTTTTTCCTTTCTTTCTCTAAGACCTGGATAACACCTCTGCTGCTCCTCTCCTGCTTCTGTTCTTTCTTCAGTAAGAGGATGAAACATTAAGTAGGAATAAACAGTGCAGCTTCTTGGAGTGCTACTTGAGTAAAAGGCTTGACGTGTTTCTTCATGCAGTGGGAATGGACAGGAAAGCGTCATGAGGCCAGCTTTGCCTCTGTTGGATGCACTCACTCACTGTGTCAGCCTGTGGCCTGACTGGTCACGAACTGTCTTTGCCTGTCAGACCCACATTCCCAAAATACAAGTGGCTTTGGCAGTTGTACAAACTAGAGCCTTGGTGTTCGCTGGTCACCAGGGGTGGAGTGGGACAAGCAGCATTATCAGGTATTATTTATTCATCACTGGGGACTGCTGTGTGTAACTGCCCCTCTGTGTGTTGCCATTTCATTCCATGAATATTTTGTTGGAGTCTCTGCAAACTTCACTCCAGAGTATCTTTGACAGCACAACTAACTACTGCTAGTTATTTCAAAGAGTTTGGATACGTAGCTCTGTTAATCCAGAGCTCATTTGTTAGAGTAAATTGAAGTCCTCATCACTAGAAAGATATCTTGCTCCAGTCACTGCTCATCTAGCCCAGTTGGAGTGAGCATCTTTATCTTTTCTCATCTCTCACTTAGTCTTTCCTGGTCTCCACATCCCTCTGATGCTGCTCTGCCACTGCTCCTCCCCCATAGCCCATGTTCAGGTGTGGCTGTTTAAAAGCAATCTCTGTCAACATTTGTCATTAATCTGTTTCCATTTTTATTTATAAAAGAAAGAGAGAGAGAGAGAACGGAACAGCAGCAGTAGCAGGGCAATTGCAGATGAATAATGAAAGGATTCATCACAGCCATATCAGGATATATATATTTTTTGCAGCCAAGCGAGACGGATTCCCATCACAGCTCGGGGACTCGTTCCACACAACCACTCATCTTTCATGCTGGGGGGAAGGGAAAGGTGGAGACAGTATCATTATGGATGTAACGGGGCTCTGAAGTGACTAGTCAAGGTTGCTGCTTCAGTCACAAGGAATCTGCTTACAGGAATTTTCTTTCCAGCAGGTGTTATTGCCTGGTAAAGTGGCTGCCTTCTACGGCAGGCTGCCACTTGTGAAAGGGCGGGTTAAAGTTTGCTGACAGAGATGCTTGCTAAGCAGTCGAATTACCAAGGAAGCATGAGATGGCCAAGTGAAGATTTCACAGGAGTGACAAACTTGTCTCAGACGGAATGAGGAACACACTGGACAATGCAGGGATCACTCTTTCTCACCTTTTTGTCTCTTGAGCCTACCCTCAAGTTTGCTGTCATATCCACAAACAACTCTCAGCTTGCCCTGCCCCTGCCCTGCCCCTCTATATGTAGAGATATATAGCTCTGTAAATCTGCCCTGTTGAGCACAGATGTTTTGTTCTTCTTGTCCACTTTTAGTAGGTAAGGTGGATGGTAATTTGTAAGATAGGGAATGCTGAAGGTTTCTGGAGTCCTGAAGGTGTCTCTGAAGCCAGAAGAAAAGAACTGCCACTTGAAAAGGAAGAAAAAAGGAGTGCAAGGAAAGAAGCACAAAATAGGCCTGGCTGTTGAGGTGTGCACTCAAATCCAAAAAGGTCTCTGTCTTCTCCTGTCTGCCAGATCCAGGGGAGTGAGGTCACGCATATCCTGTGAGGGCAGTGCTAATGCTTCAGTACTATTTGAGCTCTGCATGCCTAGGTGCACACAGATGTAGTGATAATGTTCCTCCACAGCTTGAGAGACTGACTCTCCAGACCTCTTGTGCTTGTGGGGAGGTAATCCAGACAATGCTGTTGCCATCCAAGGTGGAGGTGGGCTGTGCTGAGTAATTCTCAGATGCAGAAGCACAGTTACTCCGACTGCTTCTGGGTTTTGGTGGGGTCTGGGTTTGAGGAAAGAGCATGACATTTGACTTTGGTTTTCCATCTAGGAAAGCACTAAAGCAAGTTGATTTAAAGGGCAGGATGCTCTCAATTTCAGGTGCTGCAATGACCTGTGTTGCTGGTTATCAGTTCTACTTCCAGTTGTGAGAGTGCATCAGCCCATAAAAAGCACAAAAGACCTTGTCCCAAAGGACTGTATATTTGTCAGGCCTCTTGGCAACCTGGAGTGCTTTGTGCACCTCTGACAAGGCATTAGCATCAGGGCATTCCTGTATTAAATCCTTTATCCTCTCAATTGAAGCATAAGTGCCACTGGAGGCAATCCCAACTGGATGGGAGGGTGCAATACAATGTCACAGCTGAAATGATCCTTGAAATAATAAGACAAGCAGATATGTTGCTTTGTTGGGCCTTAAGGGCTGTCATGTTGGCAGAGGGAAAAAAGAGCTTTTTTTTTCTATTCCAGACCCTTCTGGTGCTCTATTTTTCCCGTATAAAATCACAGCCTTGCAGCAGTAGAGGGACTGAGGAAAAGGGACCTGTTTCTCAGGCTGCCCCCTCCATTTCCCTCTTCTACCCAGGCAATACAATGCAGTTCTCAGAAGCTGAGACTCAGTCTGTGTTTTTTACCATTCCCTCTCCAACATATATCTCCCTTCAGAAAACCATTTAGTTCATTGCCCCATACAGGATTATGACAGGTCATTATGAACTGGATGTTATTCAGTTTGGCTATGTGATCCAGCTCCATTTATGCATCCTACTAAGTGTCAATTCCCATTGCTAGATAAGGACCCTTGAATGCTCAGCATAGAGAGGTTTTCTCTTGAATATAGAAACCATCAAGTGTTTGGGAAATACAACAGAAAGAAGCTTCTACGTAAGGTACTTGCTTATTCCAAAAAAGAAAAGGTACTTCAGCCATGCTAGGTCTCATCATTGAACAATGTCAGAAGGTGATTCTTATACAACCTGTGGTTAATGGCTTCTTACCCTTCTCCTGGAGGATCTTTCTTTTATATCCCCATAGAATAAGGACCCTGAAGGTGGTTTTGCTCCTGTGGAGACAAGACACTGTTGAAGCTAACGGTCATCTCCTGACATTGCTTGGATGTAGCCAAGTGCTTAGACATTGAGGGGAAAAAAAAAAAATCATCTCACTTGCACCTGTAGTGTATGTTTGCAAAACTGGGTTGAATGGGCAGGTGAGAATCTAGATCAGTTCTGAAAATGCTGTGCGCCTCCTGTTTTTTTCTTGGTGGCATTATGGATTATTAATGGAAAGCTTTCTTTGTCACAGTCTGGGAGATTGTCTTGCTTCTAACTGGTTCTTTTCAGGTAGATATAAACTTGATGTGTAATAAATGGTGTAGTAACATGTTAGTGGAGAAGAAAGTTATCTTCTGACTCCAACTAGCAGATGGTTTAAGAGATCTACTCCTTCCAGCCACCTTTGTCCCAGTTGTACCTTCACTGAATTCTTTTGTTTCAAGTGATGTTTTCACTGGCTCCATGTAGTGGCTAATTTAGGACCTTCATTATTTGGCCTCCATGTCTATTTTGTTGAGCCCCCTTCTCTTCCACCAAACACTCTCAACCAAATCAGGAGCTACTCAAACAGTATTTTGCTATTATTTTACAGATGTGGTGGTTGTCACTGCATTCTGTTGTAGGTCACAGTTTCTAGGCCTTGCTGTGTACCCACTCATACAGGCAGTAGAACCACAGCTAAAGATTAAAGATGATGACCAATTCTCTATTGCAGGGTGTCA